ATTGGTGTGAGCTCTGCTTTGAAGGCCTTGTAGAATTCTGCTGTAAATCCATCTGGTCCTGGGCTTTTCTTAGATGGGAGGTCTCTTATTGCTGTTTCTATTTCGATGCTTGATATGGGTCTGTTAAGTTGGTTTAACTCATCTTGGTTTAGTTTTGGCATGTCGATATTTGCTAGGAAAAGGTCCATTTCTGCCAAGTTCTCAAACTTATTAGCATAAAGGTTTGAGAAGTATTCCCTGATAATGTTCTGAATCTTGGTTGTTTCTGTGGTGTTATCTCTGAGTTTGTTTATTTGGGTGTGTTCTCTTCTTTTTCTGATAAGATTTGTTAAAGGTCTGTCAATTTTGTTAATTTTTTTGAAGAACCAACTCTTTGTTTTGTTGATTATTTCTATGTTTTTGGGGGCAGGGGGTTCTAATTCGTTTAATTCTGATTTATTTATTTCTGCCTACTGGATTGGAGTTTATCTTGCTGCTCTTTTTCAAGGAGGTTCAGATGTCTCATAAATTGTTGGTTTCAGGGGCTGGGAAGGTGACTCAGTGGTAGAGCGCTTGCCTTGCATGCCTGAGGTCCTGGATTCGATTCCTCAGCACTACATAAGCAAAAAGAAAAAAGTCAGAAGTGGCACTGTGGCTCAAGTGGTAGAGCGCTAGCCTTGAGCTGAAGAGCTGAGGGACAGCGCCCAGGCCCAGAGTTTCAGGCCCCACGACCAGACCCAAAAAAATTAAAAAAAAATTAAAAAAATAAATTGTTGGTTTCAGATCTCTCCAATTTGTTGATGTAGGAACTCAGAGCTATAAACTTGCCTCTGAGTACTGCCTTTGCTGTGTCCCAGAGGAGCTGGTAATTTGAGTGTTCATTTTTGTTGAATATCGTGAACATCTGAATTTCCTTTCTAATCTCTTCCATGACCCACTGGTGATTCAACAGTGTGTTACAGGACTTTTACTGCCTCCATGTGTTACAAGACTTTCTTTGGTGGCTTTTGGTGTTGAGTTCCAATTTTATTCCCTTGTGGTCTGAGAGTATGCAAGGTATAACTTCAATGTTTCTGAAAGAGATATTCTTTTTCTGATATTTTCCTTTCATCAGCTTAGAGCTGAAAGTAATTGCCCAGAGTTGGTCTGTTGTTATTTGTTCTGTTTTGTGATGCAAGAGATTGAATCTAAGACCTTGTACATGCTAAGCAAGTGGTCTATTGCTGAGCCTTACCAAGGAGTTTTAAAAGGTTGGGGCTCCTTGGGTGTATGGTGCTTTCAGTTCTAAGCTGGCAATCTACCACTTGAAGAATGCCTCCAATATGGGTGTGTAGAATTTTAAAGCCCTTTGTATGTTATTTTCTACTAATTCCCATCTTTCCAGAAGTCTTTTTTGCTTACCTACAGTGGAGACCAGAGGTTTGGTCCTTATTGTTGGTTAATTTAGTTTATTTTTATTTGTTATTTTTCCATTAAGGCTGGTGCTAGATTTCTCACGCCCCACCTCCACTTCTGGCCTTTTGCTGGTTAATAGGGGATAAGAGTCTAACAAACTTTGCTAACCCAGCTGACTTCAAACCAGGATCCTCAGATCTCAACCTCTTGAGTAGCTAGGATTACAAACAATAGCCACCATTGCCCAACTTTATTTGGTTTATTTTGAGACTGAATCTTGCTACATACCCCAGGCAGGCATGAAATTTGCTATGTAGCTAAGTCTAGCCTCTAATTTGAAGTTTTCCTGCCTCAGCTTCATTGGTTCTGGGACTATAGGTATGCTTCATTGCCCTTGGCAAATTTTTTTGTCGGTTGTGGGGCTTGAACTCTGGGCCTGGGCACTGTCCCTCAGCTCTTTAGCTCAAGGTGAATGCTCTACCACTTGAGCTACAATGCCACTTCCGGTTTTCTAGTGGTTTATTGGAGATAAGAGTCTCACGGACATTCTTGCCCAGGCTGGCTTTGAACTGTGATCCTCAGATCTCAGCCTTCTGAGTAGCTAGGGTTATAGGCGTGAGCCACTGGCACCCAGCATTTTAATTTTTGAAAATTAAAATGCTTATTTTTCCTTTGAAATTCAAAAGAAACAAGAATGTAAAAAGTGAACAGTGGAACCCTAGATCATCTCCTAGTTCATCTCTCACAAGACCACTGCCTATAGCCATTTGGTGCTGATTTTTCCAGTCTTTATTCTGAATGTTTTCATTTTTTTTATTAAAAGCAGAAACATCCTAGAAATAATTTTAAATACTTGCTTTTCTCCTTGATAGAATAGAAGCTTATTTTACCACAAAATGTCTATGTATTGTTTACATAGTTTTAAACTTCAGAGTAAAAGAAATCAAGATTTCACCATACCATTAAAATAGTTTTCTATAACATTATGATTTATGGTTACATGGCAAATCAATTTACCATTAATGTACCTATTTCTCCTTTTGAGTTGTTTTAAAGTATTTGCTATTATATAGAGAGCTGTTGTGAAGATCCTTGTCCATGTATTTGTGTGTCTTTGTATGTCTCTGTAGGGCAAAACTTGGAAGAGGAAAGGATGAATCAAAGGTTCAGATTGTCCTCTGAAGTGCCCATAGCCAAAACCTTTTGAGAAGCAGTGAAGTATAGGAGTTAAGTACCTGGGCTTGGGAATCAGGCTTTCCTCTGGCTCTGTGGTTTCCTAGTCACCCTCTTCAACTTTTCTGAGCTTCAGTTTCCTCCTCTGCAAGTTGGGATGATGATACCTAACTCAGAAGGACACTGATAATGTATGTGCTGATAAAGTGCTCAGTCCTGGGTTCACTGAAGTCAGCAATTATTCAGTCCCCTTGGGGGATTTAAAGCTATTAGGGCTCTTGTTTCTTGGGTGAGGATAATGCTCAAAGAAGATGACCTGGAATGAGGGTGGCCTTGTCCTCATTCTTGTAGCAGCTGCCATTCCAGTCTGCTCTCCCAAGCGCAGTTAATGCTGCAGAAACAGAAAGGAAGCCAGGAACGTCCCAGAAGATGGTATAATCATACTGGGCATTTAATGGGGCCCAGCAGGAGCCCCATTTTTTCAGAGACAAAGCCTTGCTGGTCTCAATTCTCCCCCTCTTTCACTCTGAACAACCCCAGGCAGGCCCTTCTTTGCAAGGGGGAAAATTCTTCCAGGTTCTTATTAAAATGAATGGTTATACCAGGCACTGGTGGCACATGCCTATAATTCTAGTTACTCAGGAAGCTGACATCTGAGGATTGCGGTTCAAAGATGGCCTGGGCAGGAAAGTCCGTAAGACTTTCATCTCCAATAAACTACTAAGAAAAAGCCAGAAGTGGACTACCCTTGAGAAAAAGAAGCTCAGAGACAGCACTCAGGCCCTGAGTTCAAGCACCAGGACCAACTCACACACACACACACACACACACACACACACACACACACAAAGATGGTTATGGGATAAGGAAAATAGCTGTCTTACTGTGTGCTCTCAGACCTCTGTGAAGCCTGTGGTCATGAGAGCCTGAACCTTCTTACCAGGAAGGCTGATTAGAGGGAAGGGCATAACTACCTAGGGCATTGGGTAGAGCTTTAGGTCTATAGAGTCAAGGGCATAATTGGGGAAGGAAAAGATGGCCCTAAGAGGACAGTGGAAGGATATTTTGCTGAGACTATCTTTGAAGGTGAACCATTTGCTCCTCTTCCCAACTCTCTCATTAAGAAAAAAGGCTAGAACCAAGCATTGGTGGTTCATGCTTGTCATCCTAGCTACTCAGGAGACTTAGATCTAAGGACTGCAGGGTTTTTTTGTTTTTGTTTTTGGTTTTTTTTTTTTTGGTCAGTCATGGAGCTGGGCCTGGGTGCTGTCCCTCAGGTCTTCAGGTCAAGGCGAGTGCTCTAGCTCTACCATTTGAGCCACAGCACCACTTCCAGTTTTCTGAGTGGTTTATTAGAGATAAGAGTCTCACAGACTTTCCTGCCTGGGCTGGCTTTGAACTGCAATCCCTTACTAGCTACGATTACAGGAGTGGGCTACCAGCACCCGGCTCTGAGACTCTTATCTCCAATTAACCACTCAAAAACCAGAAGTGGAGTTGTGGGCCAAGTGATAGAGCACTAGCCTTGAGCCAAGAAAAGCTCAGAGACAGCACCCAGGCCCAGAGTTCAAGCCCTGTGACCAACTAAATTAATCAAGTAAACAGAGACATTTAGTTGTTCCTATATTTATTGCTATCAACAAGTCCCCCTCCACCCCTTCATATTTACATCCAACTCCTTCTCCAAAGCTAGCTTTTACTGAAGTTCATGATAGTAGGCCAGCAAGCATGGTCACATCTAGGTAATCCTAGATATAGTAGGCAGTGTTTGTCCTGCACATGGGGAGAGCTCTCAGAATGATTGAAGGCACAGACTGCTACTGGGATAAAGGGAGGCCCCACCAACAGGTACTCTTCCCACGTTCTATACTTCATCATCACCAGAACTTTTAGCAAAGCAATGTTGAGGGTAGTGGACTCTCATCGTCAAACACAGTCCTTTCTTTGCTTGTGAGGGTCCATACAAATGGCCAAGGTTATACCCATATCTGCATTTGGCTTCTAAGGGCCAGTTGTGTCTTTAGAAACAAGATGTGACCACCTGTCATCTATCACCTGGGAAAACTCATTTGAGGAAGATAAGAACAGAAGGGAGGCATATATTGACTGAGGTATGGATAATTCTTTAAGCTGGGAGAAGTTGGGGCTCCACCTGAGCTCATACTTTCATGGGAAGCTATAAAATAGATGAACAGAGCTGGGTGCTGGTGGCTCACACCTGTAATCCTAGCTATGCAAGAGACTGCAATCTGAGGAACATGGGTTGAAGTCAGGCCAGGCAGGAAAGTCTGTGAGACTCTTTATCTCTAATAAACTACTCAGAAAAAGCTGGAGGTGGAGCTGTGGGTCAAGTGCTACAGTCCTAGCCTTGAATGAAAAATGAAGCTCAGGGACAGGGCTCAGGCCCTGAGTTTTAGCTCCAGGACCAGCAAAACAAAAACAGCCACAACAAAAAAGGTGAACAGAAGTCATTTCATTTGCAACCCAAGGCCCCACCAGGCTCTTCAATAAATTCCACTGGTGTCGCAGGCTGAAAGTAGCAAAAGGGTAGACACTTAAAGATGAAGAGCTGACAAGGCTCTTGATGGCCATTCATTTTAACCCCAGCCTGTCCTAAGGTCAGAAGTCCAAGGGATAGCCACTTGGGTCAAGTCTCAGAGTGATACAGTGGCCCAAACCTCTAAGAAGTTAAGGAAGACAGTGGAAATGGTAGCTGTAACTTTCTTCAGACCTTTGGGGACTCTGGATTCACCTATATCTAAAAAGCGTCCTACAAAATGGGCAGCCTCCCTAGGGGTTTGAGAATGACCTGAAACACTGACTCGGCACCCTTTGTAGGAGCAGTACAGCAGCAGAGTGGGAATGAGAAGGGTTTGGGGGTCTTGGTGACAAGGGACATGAGAAAATCTCTTGGTATTCCACTTGGTGTGGCCAAGCCTGGGAGTGGATGGTCCTAGGAGGGGGCTGTGCTGTCAGTTGCTGGTGGAAGGAGGGGTTGGGCAGGTGGGATGTGCCTTTAGACAACACCGTACCCACTTCAGCTGAGCCTGTAGGGCTCTGGCCAGGCTATTGGCCATAAGCCCTTCTGGGAAAGAAGGATCAGGCTTTCCACCAGTCTTCTGGTCCAGGCCATTATAGGAGACTGGATCAATCCTTGTGGCCTCTGTAGCTCAGGCCCAGCCCTAGCCCATGCCTTCTTCATGTCAAGGTGCTCCAGCCAGGGAAAGGCCATGTAGTTGCTCTTCAGTGCTGGCCAGCTCTGCCTCATCTCGCCCGCTCTCTGAGCCTTCGAAGCAGCCTGAGTCACGCGGGATGTCCACCTTGGGATCTGATACTGTGTGTGCCACTGGCTCCTGGCTGCTCTCGGTTCCCTCTTCTGCCTCCTCACTGCCAGCTGCCAAGGATGAGAAGAAAAGATAGAATGTGGGGCCTTGGTCCTAATTTGGGAGGTCAGGAAGCCCTGGGATGTCTCTTAGAGGCAGTGATGGTGGAAATCTCATGTATACAGTCAGGTTTCCCCTAGCCTCCTCTACCACCTCTTCCTCTCCTCTCTACACTTCCAGCTAAAAAGCAGATAGGAGTTATTTCCAGGCCCACAAGATCCAAATTTTCTAGTTCTGAAGTGGAACCAGGCAACCGGGGCTTGAATCTTGGCTCTGTTACCCAGATTTGACATTTTATATAAATGCTTTCCCTTCTCCAACCTTAGTCTCCCCTTTGAACCAAAAAGGGATGGGGCCCAATCACCTCTACAACTTCTTCCCCTATCTCTTCCCCCCACCAAGTTTCCCTGACATTCAAATTCAAGTGCAGAGACTGCCTCTCTAATGCGGAGGGGCTCTGGGACAGTATGTGTATGCAAGATATAAGGCCAGGGCAAGCCTTTGCCCCCTGGAATGCCAACAGGCCTCAATGCCCATCTTTTCTCCTGAAGCCACTCACTGTCATAGTCCAGTAGCAGCTCTGCAGCTGTGAGAAGCTTAGCCCGGTGCTGTGGGTCCATGATATTTAGCTCATTGAGGTGTGTTTCCCGCAGCTCTTTGAAGTCCTCCAGTGTCTGGTAGCCATTGAGCAGCAAGGTGGATGTGTGCTCCTGGGGACAAAGGCAAGCCACCAACTGTTTATAAGCCATCCCTGTCTAGAACTTTCCCCCTACATGTAGCAGTAGCCTTAGGCCCCCAACTCAGGAGCAAGTGGGCCTAAAGTCAAACCTCCAGGCCAATGCGCTCCAGCAGTTCATGCAGTGTCTTCGGCTTGGGCCTTTTGCCCTTGCTCTGGCGGCGACTGGTGCGGGCAGGCCCCACGGTCTCCTCAGGCAGCACATCCACATAGATGAACTTGAAAGAACCCAGCTTGCCATTCAGCAGGCCTAGCCATGTGCCCACAGGCGGCTTTTCAATGATCTGGATCACATCTCCTTTCTGTTTGGGGAGGAGAGGAGAAGAGGGTAGGGAAGAGAGGGGTAGGGTCCTGTGGCTTCTGCTGATGTTCTGCTACCCTGGCTCAGTCTAGCCTTCTTTGTGGCTTCAGCCGTCCAGATTCTTGAGGGGCCTGGACGCCAACCTTACCTGCAGTTTCAGTGAATCATGGTCATAGGGGCTGGGAGTGAAGTCAGTGTGGACTCGTGCCCGACCACAGAAGGGCCCTGTGTACTGAGGGGCTGGTGGTTCCTCCACGAAGCTGCCAGAGCTTGGACTGGGGCTACAAAGTTCACTACCTGCAGGAGATAGGGTAGGGAGTGGAGCAGTTTTAGCTTTGTCCTAAGACACCCGGGGAAGTCTGAGCCTAACAGGTGCTTTCCTTGGAAATGCCTACATCCAGGCTGGAGAAAAACACTCTGGCAAGCCTCACACTGCAGCAGCTAGGGAAGGGGGAGGGGAAGTCAACCCATCCCTTTGGACACCTGGAGAAGGTGAACTTCACCTCTGGGGTCGCAGCTAATGAAAACTTCATAATAGGAAGAGAAATTGTTCACAGATCAAAGTATGAGCAAGCTGGAACCCTAGAAGGTTCATATCCCCAATGACCAGATGAGGAAACTGGAGTACAGATGGGCCGAGTGACTTACGCAAGGCCTTTTACTCTGCTGAAACTTGGCAGCACTAACCCCATAGACTACATTTCTTCACTCCCATTCCAGTGCTCAGGAAAGTCACACTTTGCATTAATATTTTTACTTTCTCTACTTAGTAAGACTCAAGATTTAGTTACACTATCTCGCAGAAACCCAGACATACTCTTTCTCCCTGGGAAGGGCAGAGTGATGTGCATCTTAAGTGGATTTTTGTTGGGGACACAGAAGTGTCTGTAGACCCAGACAAAGAGGAAAATTTGGAATGGGCCTGAAGGTCAAGAAAAGCAGTACTTTAGGGCTCCCTCCCAGAGCCCCATGGCCCCTCCTCCAGGCTGGGAAGCTCATCAAGTTTTTATCCCCACAGAACCAGCTGTTAAACAGCACACTACTGAAAATGCTAAGTGGTGCCTTAAGCCACCAAACCAAAGTCTGGGGCCAAGATATCTCCTTATAGCTGGACATCCTATGTTCCTATATCAGTCTAGGATATCAGAGGCCCAGAGAGCTATAGTCTCTGCCTCTCCCTGGAAGGGTGAGAACAGGCTGTTCCAACACAGCAATGATATTCCTCCCCTGTGGGCCCCTCTAAGGCCTGAAGACAGCTAGTGAAAACTCCTCTATGGCAGACCTGAGTCACTTTGGACAAGTCACTTAACTCCTCTCAGTTTCCATATCAGTGAAGTGGGGACGATAATATAATTCTATGAGATTGTTATGATAGTTCAATGTGAAGGTTGGGAAAGTTCCAGCACGCAGTCAATAAACATTCATTTTTCTTACCATCCCACTGACACTACTCTAACCTTTTCTCTAGATGTAGCAAGTACTCTTCTACCTGCTCTACTCACCTGTTGATGCCTGGCGAATGAGCACTGGGAGGTCATGCTCTTCCTGCTCGGAAAAGGCCAAGGCCATCTTCTCATGTCCAGGACTTTCCAGGCCAAAGTCTGGAGATGTTGGGGAGGCTGAGCCCTCCTCCAGTGTGTCTCCCTGCAAAGAGGTGGGTAGAAGTCTTGAGCAGACTCACTGGGGGACAGATAAACCAGGCCCAAGTGCAGAGGAACTCTGTCACCTCTGCCTTAGTTTCTTCTTATTTTTAGGTCTGAGACCAAGGCTCAAGCCGCTTTTACTCATTGGCTAGCTCTCTACCAATTGAGCCATGCCTCCAACCCCTATCCTGCCTATGTTGCAGAATGAGTTTCACTAGTACTAAGTGAATGGGGTTTTTCAGCTTCTAGTGCCAATGTACATGAAGAAAGTTTGCTATTATACACACAGAAAAGGCCATGGTGGCAGAGCTTGGACTCAGAGTTATTGCTATGGCCTAGTCGAACACAGTGGTGCTAAAGAACAACTTACTGTGTCCTCCTGTGTGCCAGACCTCACTATTTCCTTGAATAAAACTCTTGAAGACAAGAAGAATGGTTGGCCTGAGTTAAGAGATGAAGAGTAAGCTTACCAAGGCTCATGAGAATCCATAACCAAGTTGTTCCATAGCTCCTCCCACCTCACTGCATTTCAATGGGATGATGTTTAATAGCTGACTATCTGGGAATAAAGGCCCCAACGCTTTGCCAATTTTTGTATTATAAATACTCCCTCATCATGATCACTGGGTTAAACTACCAGTTGAGGTGGTAGAAGAGATTAAGACATTTCTGCTACATAGATACCATAGACACAAATAGTCTCAATATAGGTATGTTATGGCCCCTGTTTGCAATGGAATTTATTTCAACATCACTATGTATAACTTGATTTTTAGTGATGGTTGTATTCAACAACTGGCTTGCAAGATTTCTGACAATTTAACCAGCTGCTCTCTCAAGCTGGTCGTTAATTCCAGCACATTACTTCTCAGGGCCTCCAGCCCAGCACCCTAGACACCCCATGTGCTTTAAACTACTTGGACTGTGCTTACCCCACAGCTGTCCATGGGTCTGAGGCCAGCCTTCTTGATTTTCTTTACATTCTTCAACTAAACAATGGTTTGACTTACAATCATGTGTCTTGCTGATGGTGTGAAAGCAATGGAATTTGGATCTTTGCCCAGGCTTGCACTATGCAGTTTGGTCCTGTCTGGTGATGCCAGGCAACAGAAGCAAACTACAGTTCCTCATTAGCCACAAAATCATGAAGGGAAACAACTGATACTCTACAGGGTGCCGTGTTGCCAAAATCTGATGTTCAGTAGGCAGGTATAGTCAATGTATTTTTAGCATGGGATAGTCTCCACTTATGATGGCTTTACCAGGACATAAATCTATGGAAAATTGAGCAACATTTGCATTTTTTCCTCTATATCCTCCTGGAATCAGACTTTCCCATTCCAGGAGCTAGTTCCAAGCAAAACTTTGAGGTGACTGGATTTGCCTCAGGTGATCTCATCTCCCTTTCAGTTTTCCCTCCCCCAAAGGCTTGCCTTTGCACAAAGCTTTAACCACCCAGACTTTCAGCCCTCCTTAACCCTCATTCCTTCCCCAACGTGTTTCTGTTCCTATCAATACTTCTTGGCTGCTTTTTTATGGCTGCTGGTACCTTTCTTTCCTATGTGACCTTTCTGCTGGCACTGAACAGGGTTTTCATGCCTAAGTAGTGGCTGTTCAGGTGCTCATTGTCACCCCGTGCTTGAGTGGCTTCCTTAGCCCCTGGTCCCTATTCTTCTGGGCCGCAGACTCACCATCTCCTCTGACAGGGCCTTCACCATCATCTTGCCCATCTTCCTGTTCATAGTACGGGAAATCACTGCCCTCCACTTCTTCCCCAGTTTTTTGCCACTCTTTGCGACATCCTCTGGAGTAGGGGCACCTGAGTCATCTTCCGGAATCTATGATAAAAAAAAAAAAAAGAGAGAAGATCCAGAACCACTGGAGACTCTGCTTGGTCAAAGGACTTGGAATATGAAGAAGCTTTGGGGTCTCTGAAGATGGTAAAGGGGATGGGACTGAAAGTCCCCCCCCCATTCCCTTCCTCGTTAGCTCCAACCTTCTCCTTAGCCCTATTAATTTATCATGAATCTGCTAATTAATCTGTTAATTTATAATCGAAAGAATGTAAATGAGTGTCCAGAAGTTTGGTGCATGGGAAAATTGGGGTCTTCTGTGTTAAAGGGGGCTTTGACTCCTCCTCAATCCTAATATCTCCTTTCCCTTCTCCTTTCTCCCACCCCCCACATCTTATCCCAGAACCCACAGCCAGATCCCCCAGGAGGCACTGAAACTCACATTATCATCCAGATTAAATTCTTTCTCGCTCACCACGGGGGAGCTGGGTTTGGATTTGGCAAAATCCTTGAAGCTGCTGGAGCGCTGAAGAGAGAGCTGGAAGAAGCAGAGTGTCTCAATCAGTGGTGTTAAAATGGCTGCCCTAGGACTGATCAGTGCACGCCAGGGCAGGGCAGAGCCACATGTGTCCTGAGGGCCCCAGAGCTAATGAGGTGAAGTGTCAAGATGTACTTGGAACTACATGGTTTCATCTTGTTCTTGGCCCTATCGCTGACCACATACCGAGCTCCATACTGCGGAACCCAAGAACTCAGACTAAGTCCAAATTTTCCCCAGTGCCTGAAATTTTGGTCCCACATTCTTGTGTGAAAGACTGAATGAGTCAGAGCAAATACATGCTCTTGCATATATGAGAACTTCACCATAGGTTAACAGAACAATTTCCTCCGGAACCCAGTGGCTCTGGCCTTCATGCCCTGGACCTGCACTGAGCCTGTTCTGTACTTATCACAATAGGGGCAGACATAATGCAGCTGGATGAACTTTTGTCCCAGGAAAAGTAAAACAATCCTGCCAGAAGCTAGCAAGACCTGGGATTATACCTTCTGGAAAACTACAGTAGAGGTTTACTCAGAGAAAGTACCTACAGATTTGGAACACAAATGATTGCAGCTAATTTAAATAAACAAAGCTGCCATTTTCTCTTTATTCATCTCAGCTTAACCTCATCACTGATGGAATGAGCTAGCAACTGTTCACAATGGCTGGTGTTTAGGCTTTCAAGAATGACATGTTTGTGTTGATGAGACTGCTTGCAGGAAATGAGTTTTCTTAACTGTATATGCATGAGCATATGAAGATAACAGCCAGAAACCAGGGCAAAGCATGAAGCAGAGCAGGCCATAGACACAAGAAGTTGAGGCTGAGCTTGTATCAAGATAAACACCCAATACTAGAAGATACACACAGGAACTAGGGTTCACAGATGGCCAGACAGATAGAGTAGGATAGACTGCAGACACCCAAGATAAGACCATGAGGAACTGAAGCCCCAAACCCACACTAAGCCAAAAGTTTCGCATCCTCTTTCCTACTAAATGAGGTGTGTGTCTAGTGGCGGACCCACCGAGTAGAGGCACAATCACCTGTCCCTCAGCACATGTACAATTGATCCTAACTTTTGTGGACTGTAGTAGAGCACAACAGTATTCCTTTTGGGTCTTGATCAAAGCTCAGTCAGGATTCGATGGTCAAGGGTCACACATTCCTAGAGGTAGTTGACCAGAAACTAGGTCACTAAGGGGTTGTGAATGGGTATAGAGAGGGGAAAGTGTGACCATGGGTTGACTGCTGTGGTTCCCATGCATCTCCTCCATCCTCCTGCCTTAATATTTTTCCCTTCCTATTATTGTTTCCATCTTTTCTCCCTTTCTTTCCCATCTTCTACATCTTCCATTCATTTCCTCCTCTTGTATGCTAGGATGCAGCTGCCTGGATAACTTCCTCTTCTTATTACATGGAAAAGAAGGAACAGAGAGAGGGTGGGCACCAGGCTGGCGTGGGCCCAAGGAGGGCAGGCAAGGCCACTATTTATAGGGCTATGGGGCCTATTATGGTCTTCCCTCCACTACTCTTTAGCCATGTCTGCAGACTAGGAGGCTGAGAGTCGCCCCTGAAGCCCCGGGGAATGGTGAGGCTGGAAAGCAAGCAGAAGGGCAGGAGTGGGGCCGGAAGCAGGCTTTGTTAGGGAAGAGTAAGCTCATGGCTTGGTTGCTTTCTAATCGTAACTCTTTCCCTGGGCCTTTTCCTGTCATTAATCTGCAGTCTAGGGGCTGGGAGGAGGGGCCTTTGGCTCTCCAGCCCTGTGTAAGGGCACCTCTGTCCCAGCTTTAGGCCAAAGCAAGTGCCACAATCCCAAAAGGCCACAGAGGTGGTGCTAGGGCTTGAGTCCAGTGCAACTCCCTAGCCAAGGATGATGGAAAAGATTATCACAGGTTCTTGACCAATGGAAAGGGCCAGTCAGGGTTGTCTTTTTCCAGGCCCATCTCCAATCTTAGAGGCAGTGCCAAACACTGTAACTACCTTTCATTGACCCTAGGGTGCTTACACTCAGGGCTAGATTGAAATCCTTGAACTCATTTTGGTTTTCTGCATATTCTGTCTTTGGCGGGGAATACTCACTGGGAGTCATGCAAGTGTGTGAGCAAGTATCATGTACTGTTGACCTTTTCAAGTCCATGGCCTTGTGGAAAGCTACATTTCTGGCATTAGACACTTCCAAGTTCAACTGTGGGATGTGTGACCTTGGGAGACTTATTCAACTTTCTAGAAGCCCAGTTTTCTCATTTGGCTCTATTACTGCCCAGCTGCATAAGTTACTTAGTGTTTCTCACGTGCTGTGTTCTTATCAATAAAAAGGAAGACCAAAGCGTCTACCTCATTGGGCTGTTGAAAGTGAAATGAATGAACACACACAGAGTGCTAAGAGCATCACATGACACCACAGTCCCTCACTCAGTGCTAGTTTATGCTTAGCCTTCTGTGTGATCCACCTCCAATATACTGGAGATTAAAACCAGGGCCTCATGGTGACCCAGATCCACACTCATACCCTGGGAATTTCTCCCTCTGAAAAATTCTACCTGCTCTCTGTCACCCATGGTTTCTTTCCTCCTACAAATTCCAATTTCACTGGAAGCAACTCAAACGCTCATTAATGGTAGGATGAGTAAATCAATCGTGGCAGAGTCATACAGTAGAACAGTACTAGTCAGTGAGACAGTGCAATTATCCCAACAATATGGATGGATGTCATCAATACACTATTGAGAAAAAGACGCCAGCCCACAAAGTATATGTGATATGCCTCTACCTACACCAAGTTCAAAACCAAGCAGAAGAAATCTGTGCTATTCAAAAACAGGAAATTGGTTATTCTTGGAGTAGGAGAGTATATACTTACTGGCCAGGGACATGAGAGAAGCTTCAGGAAGTGTTTATTTCTTGGTCTGGGTGCTTCCTGGGTGTCCATTTTATAGAAACGCACTGAGTGATACACTGATGATTCATGCACTTATTTACATGGATGTTAAACTTCAATAAAAAAGGGTTTCCACCGCAGTTTCAAAGGTAGCATTCTACAGAAATCCTTCCCTGATCACTGTAGAGACCCACACTGCTTCGGGTTTCATCCCCTCCTTAGTGTCTCCTGAGCAACTCTCTCATTTCCTTCAGTGCTGTGGATCCGTGCGTGTGTGTGTGTGTGTGTGTGTGTGTGTGTGAGAGAGAGAGAGAGAGAGAGAGAGAGAGAGAGAGAGAGAGAGAGAGAGAGAGAGAGAGAGACTTGCCATTGAAAAGTTAAACATCACTCATGTGACTGACACACTGCCAAGTGCTACATGTATGTCAGCTTGTCCCAGGTTCGGCAGCCCTTTGTTACATCTCATCTAAGAGACTGACATGTAGAGAAATGATGGGTTCTACGCAGCTCATAGTGGAAAGAGAAGTCACTCAAATCCAGATGTGACTCTGGAAGGTCATGAGTGTTGGTGTGCTGGGCCACCTCAGAACTCATGCAGTTGCCCACACCCCAAAAGAGAAGTGAGATTGAGTGCAGCGCTGACTGCAGGTGGAGTTTGCTTGGAGCCACCAGGAGAATTGTAGGGAGAAATGGCAGAGGAAGAGTTCAGAGGATGATGGACCAGGTACTAGAGATAGGATTTCTCCAGGTGGAGTTGGAACAAGAATGAGAACTGAGGATGATTGGAGCATGGTGGAGTGCTGGGTATGCCACTGGCTGTGGTGAAAGGTACAGTACAAAAAGCTGTAGAAAGCATTTGCCAGCCATTCCAAGGAATCCTGTGGGCAGCGATGCCTACAAGTTGAATGCCTTTCATCTGAAATACTTAGGACTAAATATATTTCAGATTTTAATTTTTGTGATATTTGTATTTGTGGATGGGATCCAAGTCTGAACACAAAATTCATTCATGTTTCATGTATTCCCGATATACATAGCTTGAAAATTTTATTCTTCTTTTTTCTTTCTTTTCTTTTTCTTTCTCTTATCTTTTTTCTTTCTTTTCTTTTTCTTTCTCTTATCTCTATGTCCTTTTCTTTTCTTTCTTTTCTCTCTTTTCTGTTTATTCCTTCCCTCCTTTTTTCTTTCTTCCCTTTCCTTCTTTACTTTCTTCCTTCCTTCCTTCTTTCCTTACTTCCTTTCTTCTCTCCTTTCCTTTCCTCGCTTTCTTTCTTCTCTTTCTTCCTTTCTTCTCTCTCTCTCTCTCTCTCTCTCTCTCTCTCTCTCTCTCTCTCTCTTTCTTTCTTTCTTTCTTTCTGCCTGTGAGCTGTCCCTAAGGTTTTTGGGCTCAAGGCTAGTGCTCTACCACTTTGAGCCACAGCTCCACTTCTGTTTTTCTTGTGGTTAATTGGAGATAAGTCTCATGGACTTTCCTGCCTGGGCTGCTTTGAACCATGATTCTCACATCTCAGCCTCTTGAGTAGCTAGGATTATATGTATAAGCTACCAGCACCAGTTATTCCTTTCTTTCTTTAAACAGAGTCTCACAAGGTAGTCTAGCCTGACCTGGAACTCTTAATCCTCCTGTCTCAGCCTCCTGAGTACTGATATTTGCACACCACCAAGCCTAGCTTTGAAGTAATTTTATACAATACTTAAGCATGCTTGCATTTTGACTGCGATGTTGCATAAAGTCAAGTGTGGAATTTTCCACTTGTGGTATCATATTGGTGCTCAAAAAGTTTCAGATTTTGGAGATTCTAGATTTCAGATTATGGATATTCCACGTGTACTGAAATTATGAAGCATATGCTGGTGAAGTTGTCTTGATAGAGGTGTGATATAGCAAGAGAACATGGGCAAAGTAGTGTCCTAGACTGGAAAAGTTAGAGGAAAGAAAAGATTGGAAGGAGGGAGCAACTAACCACTTGAACAGAAGCCTACATTCTCTTCTATATCCCTAGTAGGAAGTCTGAGAGGGAATTGGAAAGGGACAAGTCACTTCCTGTACCCAGCACTGGTCTGTGACTGAAATAAGATGAAAGGCAATACGGAATAAGTAAGAACTTGGAAGAGATTCAAGACTCCGATGAGCAACTAAGTGATGTGTTCTGACCTCAGGGTTGCCCTATTCCTTCATGATCTACAGTAGCTACTGCATCCTCACCATTGGAGAAGTCCTACTCCCTCCTCTGCTGTGCTGTCTGGAAGATCTCTTACCCTACAGCCATCTGGATATGCACTGAACAGCTCTCCTATTGGTGGGCTTAGTATTTTATGCTTAACAGACTTTTTTTAGTAGTAGTTTGTTGTGTTGTTGTTGGTGGTGGTGGTTGTTGTTGTGGTAGTGGTGGTGGTGGTGGTGGTGTGTGTGTGTGGGGGGGGGTAATGGGGATTGAACTCAGAGCCTAATGCTTGTTATGAAGTCTCTCTACTTGTTGAGCCATTCTTCAGGCCCTTTTTTCATGCTTTGGAAATCATTAAAGGGACAAGAGAGTAGTAGGAGTTTAACAAATTTGTAGTCAATACATCCTGGCTTGTGTCCCTGCTCCACAGCTCAATAGCTGTGTGACCTTCAGAAAAACCCCATCTGAGTCTTGGGTATAAAATAGGGTGGTCCACATTATCTGTTTTACCTTGCCAGGGTACCGTGAGATGTCTGAGAGCTAAGAGATGGGCACATACAAAGCACAGTGCTTGGCACCTGAGGAACTCTTTCTCATGGTGGCTCCTAGAGCTGTTAAGTCTTGTTTCCTCTCCTTAAGGGATGGGACCACAGCTCTTCTTTGTAGAGTGCTCTCTAGTTTGTCTATGTCAAAGCAGGCCCCACCTTGTGCTCTTGAGTACATGTGAGCACTCATACTATTGTTTCAGGTGATCAGTATAACCTCCTGAGGTAAATCAGAAGTTATTCTCCTTTTCAGACATGAAGAAAATGAAGTCCAAAGGCAGCTAATAAGTCAGTGAATTGTCCAAGACCCTATACCTAAAACATGACAGACTCAAAAGTCTACTTTCTTGTCCCCTACATGGCACAATCTCCATTTGGCAGAACTGAGGAGAAGCAGGGGCGAAAGAGAGACTTCCCTTGCATTTATGCTTTTGCCTCCACCATATTTTGTCAGTCTCCAGAGGAGAGGGACTTGCCCACAGTCATCACAGAAGTGGTGATGGAGCTGTCCTTCCCTTCTGGAAGCTTGGCTTATTTTTGTTTTTTGATTTTGTTGGTCTTGGGACTTGAACTCTGGGCCTGGGCGCTGTCCCTCAGCTCTTCAGCTCAAGGTGAGCACTCTACAACTTGAGCCACAGTGCCATTTCTAGTTTTCTAGTGGTTCATTGGAGATAAGGTCTCATGGGCTTTCCTGCGTAGGCTGGCTTTGAATCATGATCCTCAGGTCTCAGCCTCTTGAGTAGCTAGGATTACAGGCGTGAGCCACCAGCACCCAGCCTATAGAGGCTTGGCTTTTCTAAGAACATTTGCACAATTATGTGGCTTAGAGCACATGGAAGCAAGCTCGTTTTGGCTCTTGGAGACTGGCATAGACTCTGGTAGGGGTGGAGACGAGTTTGCCTTGACTACCCTCCTCTAAAGGTCTCAGACCAGACCGTCACATAGATTTCGCTTTTCCTGGAAGAGCCATAGGCGAAATTCCAGAGGCCTACCTAACAAACACAGAATCTGGGTAATGGAAACCAAGCAAGAAGGAAGATGACATCTGATTCTCTGGGTCATTGGACACCTTCACCTGAGGTGGCACAGGGTACTAGTGTCAAAGTGTCAGCTCTTTCTCAGACTCTTTCCTCCAGCTCAGCTCCCCTGTGGTTTGGGGCCTAGCAGTGTCTGTAGAGCAGTCTCTGTTTCCTACCATCGTCATCCAGAGAGCAAGGGGAAGTGGCCCCAGTCACCGCTGAGGAATGGCAGCCAATAGCAGGCCTGCTAGACCTAGTACTATGCAAGGTTTGGGCAGAGGTGACAGGGCCCATGGGAAGATTTGTGAATCTCCCCCACCCTCACCCCCACAACTGCAACCTTAGAGAAGCAGCTGGGGTGGGGACAGTACTGCCGGAAGTGGCAGCCATCCAGGACCTGAGAGATAGGGCAGGATGCACACCCCACTGCCCTGAGACTCAGTCTCAGTCACTGCCTGGGAGCTGTTCCCTTGACATAGGGGCTTCCCCCATAGAACACCTGGTGTGAACTCCAGGGGAAATAGAGAGGACAGAATGAGGGTGTGGAGTCCCTGGTCTTGGCTTGAGATTTTGGATCTGGCTCCATTCTGCTTTTTTAGAGTGGACCTGTGGTCCCACTGGATGTGCAGGATGCACTTAGCTGATTGCCTGGGGAATCCTATCATCAAATCAATTTCAACAAGAGAAATCTACATCTGATAGAACCTCCAAGAAACCTAGATCTGGCAGAGCTTTCAAGAATCTCCCAGTCCAGCCTCTGTCCCAGGAGAGTGAGCATCTCAGCAACCTATGTCAGAGGTCTTCCTTCCTGGCCTTTCAAATCTGCCCCTCCCCCACCCCACGCTGATTTTCCCCTTTTTAGCTCTTTCATGCCTATTCACCATCTCACCAGCTTCATTTTTCATGCCTTACAAACAAGTTCCCCCTTCCCTGTGCTGTCAAGTCACCCTGCATCCCACACAGTTTGGTGCCCTTTTTCCTTGAGTCTGGAAATCAACTCAGACACCACCCATCTCCTTGGGAGCTAAATAGAGCTAAGCATACTGGGCAGGGGTGGGGGGGTGGGGGGGTGGGGGGGTGGGGGGGGGTGGGCCCCAGACAAAGGACAGAGGATCTGGTAATATCTTGGCTGGATAGTTTAGTGGAGCCACCCAGAGAGTGGGATGGTTCCTGAGAGGCTATGCTTGGGCAAACATGGTAGCAAAACCAAGTGTAAGGGAGTTAGAATTAAGTACAGTCTGAGGAATCAAGTTGATCGTTGCATTGTGGAATTCTCAGATTCTAGTCTGTGATTCTCACTCCGAATTTTTACTTCTTTATTCCATTGTGGTAGGATTAGATTCTGTAGCTCCAAATTTCTAGGATTCTACCCTGTAGTTCTGTTACTCCAGAGTTTTAAAAGTCCTTTTTATATTCCAGTTACTGTAGTAACATTTGGGTCCTTGTCTGGTTTCCCCCTGGGAGAATGGTCCTCACCTACAGGCTCAACATATGGCCTTTTGCTCTTTTCACCTCTTAAGAATTATGGACAGCACAGGTGGAGAGCACAGAGGGGAAAGGAAGAAGTTAGCTCCCAAAGATGCTCCTCACCTTTTTCTTCTGAGTGGGCTCCTTCTCGCTGGCGTTGGAGGGCTTACGGCGCAACATGGTTCTCCACCCTGGCAAAACTCTAGCCCTGCTCTCCTAGGTGTCAAGATGCAGAGGCTTGTTGTTCAGCCTTGCCAGCACTGTCTAGGGGGCACAGCATGGACCGAGCCTCTGGCTGCTACTCTGACTGTTGTACTGACAGCTTGGGGGTGCAGGCCATGGACACCCGGCAGCAACAGCATACAGGAAGCCCTGCCACGTGACCTGCTCTTACGGCAATTGCAGCCCCTGCTGGCCCCTAGGGAGGAAGGAAGTCCCAGCTTCAGTCTCCAGAGATTCTGATACAGACAGCTCTTTGGCTAAACAATCACAGAAAACACCCTACCCTGTTGTTGGCCTGTCAATCATCATTGATCCTGCTAGAAGTTCCTACTCAAGCCTTATACTCACTAATCAAAATCCAGAAACAGAAGATGGACAATCTCACTGCTCCTGAGTCAGTGCCCCTGATCATTTTGTATCTTCAAGATCACTACACTACCATTACTATGACCCTGAGAGCCATCATTTCAATAGCCATCACCACTGCTACCATCACTCCTATCAAGAGCCATCACCAGAGAGCCACCACCCCCTATTACCATCAGCCCCACAGTCGTCATCCCTGCAGCTATTGGCGCTCCTACGGCCACCACCTCGGCATTCAGCACCCAGCTATCAGCACTGCTTCTATCACCTTCTACACATTATAATCATCTGCATGACGCTCTCAGCCCTCCAACCCTCATCACTACAGTCATCACTTCTTCAACCACCATGCCTCCCTGCAGCAGACACTCTAGAGACATCATTCCAGCTTCAAGAATTTACCAGATGTCTATGTGCTCATTTTGTGGATTATCTGTGGAAGACTTTTTTTTTTTGCAATCCTAAATATGGGACATAAAGCCTTCTGCATGCTAAGCAAGTGCACTATCAACTCAGCTGCATTCTCTTCTCTTGTGGCAAATATTTTAATAACTTCAATGACTTATTCTTACTACAAAAGCATGTGATATCCATCACATAGAATTTAGCAAACACATAAAAAATTTTTAGAATTGTCTATAGATTATGCATATATGAAAATAGAATAATGAAACCGGTTGAAATTGTTACAGGGGGAGGGGAGAATAGGGAGAGGGACAGAGGGAGGTTGTGGGGGTACATTGTATGTCACAATGAAACCTTCCTTGTACAACAACTGTGTGCTAATGATTTTTTTTTAAAAAACGGTCATAATTTCTTCCTTTTTAGATGAGTATCCTTTTCTGTTTTAAGGATGTTACCTTTCTGTTTTGTGTGCCACTGCCATTGGGCTCTCTCTCAACTTTCTTGCTCATGATGCTCTACTGTGTGGTATACCTCCAGCCCAGCAGTCTGCTGGCTATTTGGAGACAGAATCTCAGTCTATTCTGCCTGGACTGGCTTTAACTTCAGTCCACAAGGTCTCAGCCTCCTGAGTAGCTATGATCACAGGACTGAGCCAACCACGTCTGGCTTAATCCGTTACCTTTCTGTTTACACACCTTTTTCCTTCTTATGAAGATCATACTGCACAGATAGCAGATCATTGGTTTGGGGAGGTAAGAAAGGGAGAAGAGGAGATCATAAAGAGCACATAAAATCTTTTGAGAGTGATGGATATGTTTACAATTTTGATTATAGTTATGGTTCCAAACTATACACTTTAAAATGTGAATTTTATTGAGTGTCAATTATACCTCAATAAAGCAGGCTTTTAAATAAAAGCAGTTGTAAAAATAAAAACATATTTTGAAAATTCTCATTATCTACATTTCACATGGAACTCATTGATATTTTCTCATGCTATGAGATATTTTTAACTGTATTTGTTTTTTAAATTGTTATTATAAAGGTGATATACAGGGGAGTAGAGTTATATAAGTCAGGTAATGGGTACATTTCTTTTTGGACAATGTCATTCCTTCCCTGTCTCTCCTAGTGTTTCCCTCCTGTACCCACCCACAAGTTGTATAGTTCATTTTTAACATAGTGTCTAATGAGTATTACTCCTGCATTTGACTGTGTTATTTGTTCACTGTTGAGCATCTCATTGGGTAGAGAAACTATGATTATTTCACCAGGCTGATGAACTTCCTGGTTTGTTTTTTAACTATTCATTGAACATCCTTAAGTTAAATATTCATTTACATTTAGTTCTTTTCTTAGGAAGAATCTAGAAAAGGAATTACTGTGCTATAAGGGAATACATACATACATACATAATCATTTATTTATACCTCGGGGCTGGTTGAATGGCTCAAGTGTTAGAGAACCTGCCTAATAAGTGCAAGGCTCTGAAGTTAAATCCCAGTACTGCAAAAAAAAGAAAAAGATAACAAAAGAGAAATAAACATGGAGTAACATGAATCTGAGTATTTGTTTTCAACGAGGAGTTGAAGTTCATAATCTATCACAAACTTTGATTCCTAACCTCTTGGGACATCATAAAGAACCCTCAGAGATACATCTTTTAAAGGCTTTTGACTTCTGTGGCACTTGTGAAATCCTAGCTCACCACAGTTCCCAAGATGTTCTTATGACTTCCTTCCCTGACCCTACTCCACACCCTTAGACTATCCTTCTGTTGGAGGGAGGTGTGCTAAAGGAAGATAAGATCCTTCTCTCCCAAGCTGAAACCATATTTCATTTAGCTCCATCTCCTCCACCTGCAAGGCAGACTTATAACAAGATACTGGGCTTCAGATCCAGATCATTTTTTTTCCAGTGGCTATCATTTTCCCGCCTGAAGGACCCTGCCAGGCTGCCCAAGGCTCTTGGCGGCTAGTTAAGGCTTTGCAGACCTGTGCCTGCAGGAGCCTAGCACCATGAAGGAAATGGACTTATCAGGCCTGGGGCCCAGCATGATCTGGGGTGGGAGAGCAGCCTAGCCTGAGTCTGGGACTGGGATGAGGCTAGATTTCATTGGCTCCAGATACCTACAGCTTTGGCAGCCAGTAGACACAGGGGACGGAGCAGTTCACAGAGCCTTTTGGGTCTGTGCAGCAAGCAGTGGCTGGTCCCCAGCAAGAGGGCAGGATGTGCCCACTTCCTGTTTGCTCAGCCCCAGCATTGAGTAGAGCTCGCATACCACCAACCGCAGGGACTTCAAAAGCCACCAGCAAACTAGGCCCCTGGGTAGTTGAGGCTTGGGGGAAAAGGCAGGAATGTGGAGGTGAAGGCACCTGGGAGAGAATACAGAAAGGTGACGGACCCCTGGACAGATAATAAATGTTTTTAGTCCTGTCTTCCTTTCCCGTTTCCAGATCTGATCTCTGATCAGCAGCCTACCCTCTGAGGGTCCAGGGTCTCTTTAATACAGACTTGCCTTTCCTCAGCCTTATTCTATCAACAGGTGATACTGGCTGGAGTCCCAAGTGGGTCAAGCCCCAGTGGGCTAATGGGCCCTAAACACTTGTTTAATAGTCTTATTTCCACTTCCTGGCAGTTCATTTACATTTTATAGTTCCATTCCAATTACATAGAGCCTTCAGCTAAAGAGGTGGCCCAAGTTAGTAGTTCAGTGAACAAAACAACCTTAAATTTGATAATGGGCTGTCAGGCAGGACCCTGGAGCTTACTATAGGCACAGAAATAAATCACTCTCAGGTTTCCTTGCACCTTTGCCTAGCACTTTTGTTCTTTCTTAAGTACCACCTTAAGACGTTGGGAATATTCCTTAATTCTGCCACAACTCTCTCAGGAAGATAGCTTCAAGTGGGATGCATATTGCAAAGATGTGTCTGGAAGTATAAATGCCAAGCAAGAGAACTTGATTTAGTGCAAGATTGTGGGATGTGTGTATTTGTGTGTGGGGGGGTCTCACTAATAGCAAAATCAGTCTGAACCCTCAGAGGCTGGGTGTAGGATTGTCAAAGACACCAAAGTCATTGTTGTCTGCATTGACATTGAGCAGCCCTGACCAACACAGCCCTGAAGATTCTTCTTTGGTAGATGCTCATGAATGGCTATTTGGGTCAGGTGGGATCTGGACACATGTAAAAGCATCCTTCACATCCTTGAATGGGTACATTTCTGCTTTGAGATGAAGATATTGGACATGAAGAAATACCTTTATTTGGGAAGTCTTCCCAAAAGATTCTTCCTCTCACTTCCTACCCCTAATCCTACACACATTCCTGCTGAAAATTGTAATTACTCTGAAATTTACAACTCTGTCTTCCCCATTTTGTAGAGAGAAAATTGAGGCACAAAGGGATTAAATGAACTGTTCAAGACTGCATAGACAGTAAGTGGTGGGAGCTGAGTTTTAAATGCAGGTCAGGCCTTGGTCCAGGGCCCATGCTATTAACCCCTCATCTAATGTGTCTCTGATGCTGGAGGTAAAAGAATTGCAGCGTTTCCATTACAGCATTTTTAGTGTCCTGTGCTAGGCTAGGTGCTTCAGGGCCACTCTGAAGCAAGCCCAGAGGGTAGCAAATTGGACAAGAGCATCTGGAAATGGCGTCATGTTCACTGCACTGTAGTAATGGACTGGTTAAGTGGGAGTGATATACAGATAGACAGGCCCATGTTAGGTGAACAACTAAACACCTATGGAATTTGCCCTTGGGGATTTGATGCAAGTTGACTTCCAACAAGTATGTGGAAGAATGCAATGCATCTGTGTGGCTAGGAATGACCAGGAACAGGTAAATGGGATTGGGTTAGTTCCAGGGAAGAAACATTGGATATTCAGATGGTACTAATTAAGTAAGCCATAGTAAATAGTGATCTTCTTAATATCCAATCAGAGACCACATAGTCCCTTAAAATAGCTATATTTTGACAAATAGACTACCTTAGAAGCCACAAGCAAACTTCATGGTGGTCAACTTAGATAGAGCATGTGGAAAAGCAAAATGGTTGGGGCGAAGGGAGAGAATCAGGGTAGAAGTGGCTAGAAGACAAGGGGCAGGAGACTTGAGCCTCCATTCCTCAGGCACATACAGAAAGGCACCTCGTTTTCAGTCATAAAACACTCTGGAGCCACAAAAGGAGGCAAAGACAGTCATCTCCAAAGTTCTGACTTTACAATAAGGTCTCAGCTTAAAAAACAAAACAAAACAAAAAGCACCTACAGGCAGTTGTGGTAATTATCCTCAGAAGAGTAGGCTGGACTTTACTGCTCATATCAAAACATGATCAAGATTCACTGGAGGGCCTATCTGCAGGGAGGGGCAGGGTTGGGTTGCTTTTGCTTGACCTTTGAGTCTGTCCCAAGGTTTTGAGGTCTCTGTGCAGTGGGTCCTTGGCCTCAACAAGACAGTTCTTTTTGGCTCTACAGAGGAAGAGAAGCTAGAGTTCCCAGAAAAGAAGGCAAGTCAAACGCAATTCAAATTATCCTGTGATCACCAACTGGCTGAGTGACCTTGGGCAAGTGACAACTTTTGATGGGCTTTTGTGAAGACAATAATCATATGAGCATAGTGTGTATATATGTGATAGAGACCAGGTTCACTACTCAGATGACATGCACAGAGGGAGTCCTGTGTGCCACACTACTCTCTTGGCCTATATCCTGTCCAAACAACCCTAGAACATAGGAAATGTGACAAGGAGGACGGCCTAAAGCTGCTTGAGACTTACTATGAGAGAAACCAGCTTTTCAGCTTATAGCCTTGCCACGGCCCATTGGGGCTGTCTCAACCACCTATCCTACCCCACTGGAGCTGCTTGCTAAGTTCCTGTTTCACAAAGAAACAAGGAAGTGAAGAGCTGGGTGGGCCTCAGAGCAAGGGCTGGCTGGGTAGAAGTTCAGGGGGCAGGGAGTACCTCCCACTCCCAGCTCTCATGAGCCTTGGGGTGGGGGACTGGAGGAAGGATGGACAGGGAGGAAGCAATTGCTACTGCATCTTTCATAGTTCTATTTTTTGAGCACTAAAATGCCCAACTATTGGTTTGAGGAAGTGCCCAATGACTTGGTAAAATGCGTTGCTGACGTGGGTTAGATGGTGAAGTGTAGACAGCCCAGACACTTCCTAGGCCTTAACTTTTTTTTTTTTTTTAAAAGCTGGAGCCACCTAGCACTCAAATGATGGAGGACTGATTTAGTTATCTTAAAATGAACTATTTAAACTCTCTCTGTATATGTATTTATCATCTTTCCCATGCCATTTTCTATTCCCAAAAGTATTGAAAGCCTCAAGAAACATAGCTCAGAGCAGGGTATGGTGGTATGTAAACCATCACCATTGTCATAGATATGACAGCAGGCCTCCCTAGGCCTGTTTGTTACAGGTAATACAGGAGCCACTGCAGAGCTGAAGCAGGATGTTGTGGATTTAACCCTGGTTCCGGCTTCAATGGGCTATGGGACTTGGACAAGACCTTTTTTCAATCTTGCCTGTTATGGAGGTTTCTCTATCTGTATATAGGGGGTTTGAATTGGATGTTTGTTGTTTTTGTGGTCATTCAGCAACTATTTAGATAGACTGGAGATGGAATTTGTGGGGCCTGGTGCAAAATGGAAATGTAAGGTCCTCTTTAGAAAAATGATCAGGGCTGGGAAGGTGGCTCAGTGGTAGAGCGCTTGCCTTGCATGCCTGAGGCCCTGGGTTTGATTCTTCAGCACCACATAAGCAAAAAGAAAAAAGCCAGAAGTGGCGCTGTGGCTTAAGTGGTAGAGTGCTAGCCTTGAGCTGAAGAGCTGAGGGACAGGGCCCAGGCCCACACTTCAGGCCCCATGACTGGACCCAAAAAATAAAAAATAAATAAATAAAATAAAAAAAGACAAATGCTCTAAAAAAGAAAAGAAAAGAAAAAAAAAAAAGATCAAACATTTCAGGCTAGATGATGCCGGCATGGTTTGAATGGTAGAGTACCTGCTTAGCACGTGTGAAGTCTTGCATTCAAATCTTAGAACTACCTCCTCCCCCTAATAAAAAGAATTTCACGCCAGGTGACAGGAAGAAAATATTAAAACTCACCTTGGGGTAAGCACTGGTGGCTCATGCCTGAAATCCTAGCTATTCAGAAGGCTGAGATCTGAGGCTCATGGTTCAAAGCCAGCCAGGACAGGAAAGTCAGGAGACTCTTATGTTCAATTCACTATCAAAAAGCTGGAAGTGGAGCTGTGACTCAAGTGGTAGAACACTAGTCTTGAGCAAAAAACTGAAGGATAGTGTCCAGGACATGAGTTCAAGCCCCTGGGAACCTTCCCCACTACCCCCAACCCCACAAAAAAAAAGAACCTTACCTTGGAGCCTCTCTAAGCCCAACTGCCTGAGTGACTGCTCAGGTAATAAACTCCCAAACCTGATTCAGTAACTACTTCAAGTTTAATGATATTAGAAGCCCATACAGGCTGCTTTGGGTCAAGCTTTTCTTTCTGTTTTTTTTTTTTGGTCCAGTCGTGGGACCTGAACTCTGGGCCTGGGCGCTGTTCCTCAGCTCTTCAGCTCAAGGCTAGCACCCTACCACTTGAGCCACAGCACCACTTCTGGCTTTTTCTGCCTATGTGGTGCCGAGGAATTGAACCCAGGGCCTCATGAATGCAAGGCAAGCGCTCTACCATGAGACACCTTCCCAGCCCAAGCTTTGCATTTGTGATACCCCTGTGGCATTTTTTGAGGTACCTTGGGTTCAGGGAGTGTAGATAGAAAGATCCAAATGAGATACTTGCTTCCCAACCCTTTCAGTTTTATCTATTTATATATAAATTGGAGTCCTCAATCTTTTCTCCAATGGTGAAGCTATAGCTGAACTCATGCTGTATCAGTCATTAGTATTATCTTTTATCTGTGCAGTTTCCTGGTCTACAGACTGCCACATCTTGGTCTCATGGCCTTCTCTCCATAACCTCATAGGAAGGCCGTATGAGTAGTTTACAGAACGGATAACTGACAGGTGAAGTGACTTGCTCAAGGCCACACAGCCAGTACAAGTGGAACTAGAACCCCTGAATCCTAATTACTAGGAAAAGGGGATTTTCTACATAGTCTCCTCCACAGAAATAATCAACATACAGGAGAGATTTGGTAAGCTCCATTCTCCAGCAAAAAAAAGATCCAAGCCCAGGATGGGCCTTTATGAATCTTCATTTTCAAGTCATGTCACAAGAGGTGCTGTGTGTACTAGTCTAGCTATGACTTGAATATTTCCCCAGTGACTCAAAATGGGGCCCTTAAAGCAGGAATGGTCAGTGTCAGCCCTTTGGATCCAGGGAAGGGAGAATGTGGGCTGGCTGCTACCCACTCTGCAACCATGCTTCTTGGGTGGAAGATCTCAATCCCAAGATGGTGGGTTGGAAAGGGCAGCTGAATTGTGAGTTGTGACCAGGTGGGGTCCTGGTTTTGGAGCTAGGAAAGGGGGGAACACAGATGCCTCTGGTTTAAATGGCCTCCTCCAGTGTGAGCCTTAGACTACAAGAGAGGTTGCAGAGCTTTCTGAACAATGGTATATAATCATGATGTGACAAATGATGACGAATTTTATTAGTGTACCTATCTGTGGGGTGAGCAGGTGAGAGAGCAAACAGGCCCACCAATGGGTGCCACGGGTTCCTTAGTGGAGATAGGTCAGGGCTGGAGCCTCGGATGTGTTAGCTGTCATTGGCCAACTTCGCACACAGCAAATTAGGCCTCGTTGACCTAGCCTTGGGAAACTTCCGGGCCTGGTGACTTTCTTTGACCTATCACCTTGCCCCCAGAGCCTTGGCTCTCATCTCCTCCTACCTTATTTGTGCTCTCCTGGGCCACAAATTCTGGCTCAAACTTTTATAGATTATCTTTACCAACTTTCCTAATATGTGGTTTCCCTGTGTTCCCTCCACAAGGGTCTATCACTTAACACAGGATGGAGGTGGCTGGATGGGCATGGAGCGCATGCTCATGAGTGGGAACACATGCACACAAATACACATGCGCACATGCACATTCTCAAGCTGTTGCGCTCCCCTACTGAGCTGCTGAGAGCTTCACATCCCCATCCTCCACCTTAGCCTCTTCTCTGCCTCCCCTACCACAAAAGCCACAGGTAACAGCAACCTCTGGTAACACAGCAACAGCAAACACAATACAAAACCAGAGGCAGGAGTCTTCACAAGGCTGTTTTAAGCATCTAGCAGGATGTGAGGCCAGGTGGCTAACCGCCAAGACTAGAGAAAACTCTTCTCTCCCAACAGTGGGCTCAGTGAATGAGGGGCTGAGGAGGTAGGTAAGAGATTCAGCATGGTGCTGAAGGGAAAAGGAGCTGGAGTGTTGGTCCATCTGCCCCTCCACCTCCCAACAAAGTGCTGTGTATCCTTGGGAAGGCCCACTCCCTACTTGGACCTCAGTTTTCCTGTCTGTGAAATGGGGAAATCAGACTCCAATGTTAAGGGCCATGTAAGGACTTGGGAAGATTCAATAACATTGGCACCATGGCTGTACTCCAAGGACACCTTGGATGTCAGGAAAGCTTTGTAATAGTGACACCATGTAGTTGCCTCAATTGCTCCCTGAATTCCCAAATGCCTTGCCACAATCCATTCCTAGCCCATAGCCAAATTCTTGCACCCTAACTCTTCATGCTTTCCCTCAGCATGGGGCACACTCAGGGGTTAGGAACTCACATGTGAGCAATGGGCTAGTGCATGTCTCTGGATGATCTCTGGCTCCAGACCTAACCTACCCCCTGCTAATCTGTTTTCAATCCTAGGATGGAAGTCTGCAACCAGAAGATTCACCCACCCTCCCTCTATAGGTACAGCAGGCAATCTGGAGAAAACCTAGTTCCTTCAAGCCCTATGGGCTGTAACCAGGAAGTCATTATAGGGCTGGGGACACTGGGATTGGCCATAGGCAGCCTTTAGGATGTGGGAATACCACCAAATCAGGAGCCAGTATGGATGGAAATGCTCTGGCCATCCATCTGCAGCAGAGGGATGATAGAGTAGGACTCTTCCTGGGCCATGGGTCCCCTAAGAGTAGGGGCACTGGCTTTGGTTCTTTTATTTGGCGTAGGAGGAGCGGCTGTAGCAGGGGGAGCAGGGGATGACCACTGAGCTCTATTATCCTGGGAAGTTGGACTGGGAATCTAGGGTGAGGTGTATAGGCCTTGGAAGAGGGGAAAGCATTGCTTGGGGTTTGGTCCTGAAGGAGGCTGAGGGGAGCTTTGAGCCCACATGTGGGTGGGGGATCAGCAGAGGAATTGGTAGTTGCTAGCTATTCCAGCAAAGAATGGCAAGAGTAGAGGCAACCCACACAGAGGCCAAGGAGGCTGTGCTTGTGGCCCTGGCAGACAAGGGTTCTGTGTGCCGCTGCAGCCATGCCAATTCCTCCAGCAGTTGGCGACGCTGTAGCTCTGGGCCCACCTTCTCCAGGATAGTCTGGTGGTAGTGATTCAGGTACTGGAGCTGCAAAGGGATCAGAGTTTGAGCTAGCTGCCCAAGATCGAGGCCTTGGTAACTTATATATTGGTATCATCCAGGCCCCTACTGTGATATTGTAAATGCTTACCTTGGACCAAGTACCCAGCCACATTTGGGCCTCATGTATTCTCTGGGGCTTCCCAGAGGCAGGTCCCCATAATGGATGCTTATGTTAACAATGATGCTCATGGGAATGGGGGTAAATAACCAGGGCAGGAATCCCATTTGACAAGAGACTGAGGCCCACAGAGGGGAAGGAATTGCTTACAGTTCCAGATCTTCCAGTGGCACTGCTCAGAAGTCCAGCCTCAGACTTCCGAGGGGTTTACTATCTGAGGTTGGGAAGGCTGGTCTAACTACAAAATTCCAGAAACTTTGAGATTCCTGGTAAGCTGGGAAGATATACTCTAGGGCCTGCAGTGCCACTTGTGTGGACCCTCCTGGAGAAAGCAAGGACAGATGGTCTTGGAATAGGGCGAGTAGAAGCAGGAAAGGCCCAGGGCAGGGGAGAAGGCATTGGTTCATAAGCTGAAGAGTAGGCAATAGAGAAGAGGCACTTACCTGATCAGGGGACAGCAGGCTGACATCGATGAGGTTCCGGTCATAGGGCACAAAGGACACCACTTCAAAGGTCAGGTAGGATCCTGGATACTAAAGAGCCCACAGGGAAGGATGGGGAGCAGAAGAGGTGAGAAAGTGAGAGGAGCAGAAAGTGAGGGAGTAGAAGAGCTAGGCTGAAGGAGGAAGGTGCACTCTACCCAGGAGTCATGGACACACTCTTGTCCACTCTGGACACTTCAGGTTAGGCCTGATCGTTTCTGAGTCTCTTCCCTTGGCCAAGCCTCTTATCTATCACTCATCTTTCTGCTCCCCTCTACATTCTTGAAAGTTGTACTTATGTCTGTTTCTCAGAATGTGCATATCAATAGCATTTGGAAAGTATGTTAAATGTACAGATGTCAGGGCCTGCCTTCCAGATCTACTAGAGGCAGAATTCCAGGGTAGGAACTTAGAATTTATACTTAAAAAGAAATTGTTACTGAGAGAGAGCAAGGGAAGAGGTGACATTGTCCAAAAAGAAATGTACTTTCGACCTGACTTACGTAATTGTTAACTTCTCTGTACATCACCTTTATAATAACACATTTTAAAAAAATTGTTTAGCTGGGTGCTGATGGCTCATGCCTGTAATCCTAGCTACTCAGGAGTTTGAGACCTGAAGATCACAGTTCAAAACCAGCCTGGGCAGGAAAGTCTGTGAGACTCTTATCTCCAATAAACTATCAAAAAGTCAGAAGTAGAGCTGTCACTCAAGGGGTAGAGCACTAGTCTTGAACAAAAGAAGCTCAGGAACAGAGCTAAGGCCCTGAGTTCAAGCCCCAGGACCAGCACTAAAAATAAAAATTTCTTTGCCGGGTGCTGGTGGCTCACACCTGTAATCCTAGCTACTTAGGAGGCTGAGATCTGAGGATTGAGGCTCAAAGCCAGCATGGGCAGGAAAGTTCATGAGACTCTTATCTCCAATTAACCACTAAAAAACCCGGAAGTAGCACTGTGGCTAAAGTGGTAGAGTGTTTGCTTCAAGCTGAAGAGTTGAAAGACAGTACCCAGGCCCAGAGTTCAAGCTCCAAGACTGACAAAAAAATTCCCTGCTCTCCATTACCTATCTATCTATTCATTCCTGTATGTATTTGCTATTTCACCTATCTCTAGAAACATGGAAAAAGATTTCCATCTTCCAGAAAGTCCTTGCATGTATGTTTTTGGAAACTAAAATGACACAGTTTCCTTCCTGGAAATATTTCAGACTTATGCAGAAAATATATCGCTATATTTAAACATTGACTTCTTAATTTTCTGTGAATTTAAAATTGCTCTAGTAAAAAAAAAATCACCCAAAATGGATCCTACCATATCCTCTTCTCTGTACCTTCCTCCCATTTATTGTGACCCTCAGATCTCAGCCTCTTAAGTAGGTAGAATTATAGGCATGAGCTACTGATGGCCAGTTAGGCACAAGGATTTTTAATAACTTTTTAAAAAAAACAGATATTATCAAATTGCTATCCAGAAAGTTTGTACCAATTTGTACTACTCCCAACAGTAAATGGACAGTGCTCATTTCACCATATACTTGCCAGCACCTAGTATTATCAAAGCCTCTTAATTTTGGTAATTTGTTATGTGAAACATGGTATTCTCTTGTTTTGGCTTATTCTTTTAAGGATGAAGTTGAATATCTTTCCACATATGTATGAATCTTGTGTGTGTGTGTGTGTGTGTGTGTGTGTGTGTGTGTCCTTGCGCTTGTACTGGGCTTGAAATCAGGACCTTATGCTCCTGGCTTGGCTTTTTTTGCTCAAGGCTGGAGCTCTAGCACTTAAGTCACTATTCCATTTCTGGTTATTTGGTGGTTCCTTTGAGATGAGTCTCACAAACTTTCCTGACTGGGCTGGCTTTGAACTAAGATCCTCAGATATCAGACTCCTGAGTAGCTAGGATTATAGAGGTGAGCCACTGATGCCTTGTGAAATAGCAGCTTTATTAGGTATAAATTCCCACGTTGCTTATGGTAATTAGAGGGTGTACTTTGAGGTAGTTTATTCTGTTGCATTATTCCTGCTGTGTATTTCATGTCCAGTGTTACTCTGTTTTTATGTAGTAATTTATGGTAAAATCTAAAAGGCTAGTTTCCCTTACTACTCCTGTTTCAGAATTTTCCTAGCTACCTAGCTAGCTGTCTTTGCCTATTGTTTTTTACAAAAAAATCACTGGCATTTTGAGAAGTTATAAAAGTATCCATTTAACATTGATATTGAGGTTGTCTTGAATTTATAGAGTAATTTAGGGAGAAATGAAATCTTCATAATCAAGAGGCTTCTTCCCAGACAGCACCATTTACTTAAATCTTTTTTATATCCCTTAGCAGAGAGTTTGTCCATGTAAGTCTTTTTTTTTTTTTTTTTTGGTCGGTCGTGGGGCTTGAACTCTGGGCTTGGGCGCTGTCTCTCAGCTCTTCAGCTCAAGGCGAGCGCTTTACCACTTGAGCTACAGCGCCACTTCCGGTTTTCTGGTGGTTTATTGGAGATAGGAGTCTCACGGTCTCTCCTGCCCGGGCTGGCTTTGAACCGCGATCCTCAGATCTCAGCCTCCTGAGTAGCTAGGATTACAGGCGTGAGCCACCAGCGCCCGGCTTGTCCATGTAAGTCTTTTAAAGTTTATATACGGGTATTTCATCTTGTTAGTTGCTATAATATCAAATGTTTGTTTCTTTGTTATAGGCCGGTCTTGGGGCTTGAACTCAGGGTCTGGGCATTGTTCCTGAGCTCTTTTTACTCAAGTCTAGCACTCTACCACTTGAGCCACAGCCCCATTTCTGACTTTTTGGTGGTCAAGCAGAAATAAGAGTCTCACAGTTTCCTGCCTGGGATGGTTTCAAACCACAATCCTCAGATCCCAGCCTCCTAAGTAACTAGCATTACAGGTACCAGGGCTTTCAAACATTTATCTCTAACAAGCTCCCCTGGTGATTATTATGTGCCTTAGGGAATAAGATTTAGGGGAGGGACATTGATTCTCTTGGTTGAGTGAGGGATTGCATTGGTATTTAGAAAACAAAGCTTCCCAGATGATTTTAACTTGCAGTTTGAGAAAACTGATTTATGGAATTCTTATGGAGTTAAGGAAGACTCTAAAATTCATGCTTGCACATGAAATGCCTTCTCCTTTGGCCTCCCTCATGCCATGCAGTCCAAAATCACTGCCATACTACCAACACCTCCAGTCCATGGCACTTTACCTTGGTCTTTGCTTCCACCACAAGGGCCACATCTTCAAGACGAATCCCAAATTCTCCATCCTGATAGTAGCCAGGTTCTGGGAGATACAGATGCTAATGGCACTAAGCAGGCGAAACTTCCTGGACCAATCCAAGTAGTTGGAGGACCCAGTTGCCTGGCTGCCTGTGGCTTGTTGGCTCTGTCAGCCCCACAACTTGTTAGATGCTCATTGGCAAAGCACAGACAATCTGTCAGGCCTCAGATCTCCTCCAGGCACAAGTCTGCTTCACCTTCCCTCCCTTGCAGTGCAGCATGGAGGACTTAAGTGTCATTTGGGTTTTGGAGATACTCCCATTGCCCTGTGTGCCACTGTACTGTTATCCCAGGATATTTGATTGGCAACTCCACAGTCTAGATATATACTAGCTGGGAACCAAGATCCAAGGATAAAAAGAGAGCATGGGCCAAGGAGGGTGAGAGTAAGGGTGGGACAAGCCATTTGGGGCTAGGGCAGAGATGGGAGTTGGAAGGTGAAGAATATGTTGGTGGAACAGGGACTGTGGCTGTGCCTAGAATGATCTCTGAAGGTGGAACAAGACTGCTATCACCAGCTAGTCCTGCTCTGGTATGGCATAGTAGTGGGGAGGAGCCCAAGAATCATACCAATGGATGTGAACATGCCCTTGGCCATAGGAATGTTGTCAGATTGGAATCCCACTGGCCCTGGAGAGGAAGATAAAGACATGTTGTCAGCTCTCCTGTCCCCACCAGCTTGGAAATGAGCAGATTCTGGGAAAGAGCAGGTAACTGGAGGGTCACACAGGATTTCTACAAGCATTTGCACACACATGATATGCTATGGCTTTGCTTTCTCTGGGGTTTTGATCGTCTGTCTTGTATTCTCCTGGATGCCAAGCAGGCAAGAGGATTTGCTAGCTGCTGACATTCTTTACTGACCCTATGGAACACTATTTTCCACCAGCTGGGTAGCCTTGAGTAAGTCATGCTCCTCTGTGCATGTGGTTGGTCATTTCCGTACCTGTTAAATGCTCTTTTTCTCTTTCATAGGAGAGTGCAGGGATGTCAGACAAAGGAAGGAATCCTGGGGCAGGGGCTGAGAAAATACCTACATTCATGTACACATAGGAAATTGCCAATGCCATGGCCTGTCCCATGACCATAATTGAGCCCAATACTCCACAAGGCTTTGCGGGCAAATGCTTCCACCATTCTCCCTGGAAGGGAAAAGAGATTACCCCAGTTAGTTAGTTGGACCAAGATTGTCTACCTTGGCCCTTCCTGCTTAACTACCAGGGTAGTTCCTAAGGAGAGGGGTTCCTGAGAAGACACAGTGGATATTGAAGTGGGATGGAAAGGGGCTGATGGATTGAAGCCAGTGGCTCTCTGGGTAGCCCAGCCATTCACTAGCTCCAGCACATTGCACGTTGCATGCATTTTCTGAATGGCTCTATTACAATTTCTTTCCATGCATTAGGACCTAGTGCTTTGACACCCACTTCCTTCAGGATTCTTTCATGACTGCTGCAGCCCACAGTAGCAGTCCTGCAGCCTCTGAGAGACAGCATTGGCTAGCACAGGCGGCAGGGGACCTGAGAACAATGCCTGGCTTTCCTACTATCCTTTTGTGAGGAAGTCAGTTCTAGACTAGAAATGCTTGATTCCATTTTCTCATCCATAGGAAAGAGAGGAAGGTGACATAACTCTTGCCCTTTCTAGGTTCCTGGGGCAATGGTCTGGATGCCGTGAAATTAAGGTCCAAGGCTTTGGGTCCAGCCTGGCCTTTGAAACCCACCTGATGTCCCAGCAGGAAAGACAAGTCTAAACAGATCCATGTTTCCCATCAACACACGGGTATATGCCTCCTGGTAGGGAGAGGAAGAGGTGAATTGAAGGACAAGACAAGAAGCTGTGGAACATTTGGCTGTTTGACCTGAAGGGACACGAGTGTAGGTCTTAGGTCTATAGGGGAGGGGGAAGGGAAAATACGTTCTTATATGTGGTCACTCAAGTTCTGGAAGATGGCCAAAGGAGGTTAAGGGGGAGGTTCCTACATCTCAGTCTTAGTCCATGTGGCCCCCTTTGGTTGGTCCATGGGAGTCATAATGTGTAGAGAACTGAGGACATACTTGTAGCAGATGGTGACAATAGCAGTGGCAGGCAGATTCTCTGGGCTGGAATTTTAGCTTGGCTATTCAAACTCTGAGACCTTGGACTATTGACTTTCACCTCTCCATGCCTTGGTTTCCTCATCTGTAATAGGAGCTAAAATGACCTAGTGCCTAAAGTTGTGAGACAGGAGCAGGAAGACTTATAATGAATGTTATATGGTGAGTACATGCTCAAGCAAAACCTAGCATTCTTACTATTGGGCTCCTACTTGACCATTCTTTTGTTTTTAAGACCTGAAGTTAGAGTTGGACCTGATTATTTGGCAGGCCACTCTTCCTCTGTTAGAGAAAGCGGGTAGGTTGATGGTGGTCTTTCTTGATCATTGCAGGTTGCTGGTGATGTAGTCAAGCCCCATCAACTCACAATTGCACAGGTTTGGGATCCCATATCCTGAGGCAGTGGACTCAATTTGCCAGACTGTGAAGCTCCTGGTGGTCTGTACAGTCTTCCCCTACTCTTGTTTCTAGCACAAGCTCTGACTCACCATATGCATGGATTGGACCAGCCAAATACATGGATTTCAGCTCCATGTTTTGTCCCAAGCCACCTCTCTACAGAGCACAGAGACAATGCCCCAGGCTCTTCCTTGGATGAGCAGCCCTCAGGGTTTTCTGATCACTTCCAGTTCATTTGCACTGGGGCTCTACCTAAGCATTTTCCTCCACTTGGAACCCCCTCTCCCTCCTTTCTGTTAAGTGTAGGCCAGATACACACACAGCAAAAAAAGTAATGTTTGTGCACTGACATTCCACAATGGGATAAGGACTAGCCTGGCCTGAGGCCTTGCTGGTGGTATGAAATCTCTCTGGAGTAGCAGAGAATGCTGGGATTTCTGGTAAGAACTTGTCAACCTCTCTGTGCCTCAGTTTTACCCTCTCAAATGAAAGGGCTCTTGGAATGATTGTTTTTTTTGGGGGGGAGCATTAGAGGAAGGTGGCAGGAGATCTTTGACCCAGCCCTTACCTTTTGGAAGGCGGAGGGGGTGCCCCAGTGGACTGTTCTGGTGATGTCTGTGGTTCCATCCCTGTGGAAAAGGAAAACCAAATCACCCAACTCTGCTGGACACTTAAAAGGACCAGGACCATGTGCTTTCTGTATTTTCTGCTAGGGTTCCAGCAACAGTGTTGGGTTAGGGCCAAGTTGGAGGTCAAAGGAAGGCAGGTCTGATCATCAAAATCACACCTTCAACATCCGTGCATAGAAGAGGCTCTGCAGAGTCCTCAAGTTGAAGTGTTCTTTTGACAATCAGGGACCCCCTCCCCAGCCTCCCCTATATTCCCCAACTGGGTGATTTCATAGCTCTGGGTTTCCTTGGGTCAGAAAGGCTTCTTCCAGGCTTGGAATCAGAGGATCATCTCCCTTTTATAGATGGGCGACTAGAGGTCTGAAAGAGAGCACTATCACAACACCCCAATGTTCTCAGCATTTAGCATGGATAAGCTCCCCAGGAAGCATGGCAGAACAGGTCTCTTGATGCCCATTTCACAGATAACACAACTGAAACCTCTCCACTGAGAGCATTGGGCTGACCCAGTGTTTTGTTCAGAGTCCCAGTGCGGCAAAGTAAGAGCTAGAACCATTACTCCTAGCTGTTCCCCTACATGCATCCTGTAACCCTTTGGGAAGCAGAAGAGAGGAAGGGAGGGGGAAATTGTTCCTGGCCTGGGAACTCCTCTTTGGAAAGTCGGACATGGGGCATGGCAAAATTCTTTCTTAGAAGGAGAGAAGAGGAAGTGAAGTGACCATTCTCTACCTCTTCACTTTGAACATGCCGGAACCCAACAATGCTCATAAAAATTCATTTCCCCTTTGCATATCAGCCATCAGGCAGCAGGAACCAGGGACTGCTCAAGTAGATGGATACTAAGTTGAGTGTCTGCCACATTGGCAGCTGAAAGCTGTTCTAAGGACAAAAGAATAGACTCTGCTCTGAGCACATTCACCATTTCCACATGGGAGAAACAGGCAAATCATTTGAAACCACTCTGTGCTCCCCTTTCAGTTCGGCACAGTTGTGAATGACTCGTCATACATTTGAAAGGGATAGGTTAGCCTATTCAGCATGAGTGTCACGTGTGTCTGTTTGGGTTGTACACTGTACAAGGGAAACACATCTCAAGGGTTGCTTCTCTCACTTGTCCCCATCCCCAACCTGACATCGTCATCTCATATATGCTATAGGGGGAGGGGGTGGCTGAGCAGTATGCATGCTACCTGCTGGTAATGGGCCAAATCCAGGGCCTGGAGGAGTGGGTGAGAATATGGATGTGTCTGTGCAGCCAGGCAAAACAGTGTAATAATTTGAAGATTTGTTTAAAAATTGTTTTTGCCAGGTGTCACTGGCCCATGCCTAGAATCTTAGCTATTCAGGAGGCTAAGATCTGAGGATTGCTCAAGATTCAAAGCCAGCTGCAACAAACAAATCCATGAGACTCTTATCTCCAACTAGTCAGCAAAAAGGTAGAGGTGTGGCTCAAGTGACAGAACACCAACCATGAGTACATGAGTAGAGTATATATGGGGGGGAGGGTGTTGACGGTAGGGAGACTGCAGAAAGAGGACAAGGCTCTAAATGTAAGCCTCAGTGCTGTCACAAACAAAACTAAGCAAACAAACAAACCAAACAAAAAAAATTTTTTTACTTGAGCAAAGGATGTCTTTTCCTAATTCTCACAAAGGAGCTGCGTGCTCCCTTCCTCCATTATTCCACTGTCTGTATGCAGGGACCTCCAAATGGGAAAATGAGAAAGCTGCTCAGGGTTTGTTCAATTCAGGCCTGTCCTTTCTCAGATGGAGAGCTCATAGCTCAGGAAAGGAAAGCTTTGACAGACTTTTGGCAGTCAGTCGGGGAATAGGGTACGTACCAGTATTGTCCCCCAGAATCCACCAGGTACATTTCATCTGAGGACAGCTTGCGATGCAGCTCCTGGGTTGGGCTGAGAATGGGAGAGAACACTAAAGGGAGTAGCCTAGCACGGTGGGGGGGGGGAGCATGGGGGGGGCCCGCTGAGTGAAAGCAGAGGAACTCCCTCCTCCCTCAGGACTGGGTTTTCAGGCTCTTCTGCTGAGGGAAATGAGTGGAAGTCTTCCCACTGGGCCCTGGGAAAATACTCAGCTTCTATTGCTGCTGTCCTGAGCACACTTTTGTTTATCTTGCACTTGGCTGAACAAGGGAGCAAGGCCTTGGTCCTTATGGGAAGGAGGAAGGAATGCGCCCAGGATGTGGAAGGTACTAGGAAAATTTTAGAGACCACCTAGTTCACCCATTCTCTTAACATAGGGAGATACTGGCCCACAGAGGCAAAAAAAGCCTGAATGAGGTCATGAAGGAAACAGGGCGGAGCTTGGTTTGGGTTTGGATGGTCCCTCTAGCACTCTTTGTCTATCTTCCTGATGTATTTGAAGACAAAGCCCCCTCACCAAATGGCAGGGACCCCAAGGGTGAGCCTGAGCAAAAGATTAGAGGGCTGAGAAGTCCTTACTCTGCTATTCTCTAGCTCTTCTAGGGAGAAGGGGTCAGGACAGAGTAGCTGAAGGCTTGAGAGGCATTAGGATCAACCAGGGTGGGAGTTCTAAAGATAAACAAGGTTTATCATCGATGGGGCATCCACCATTTCCTGCTATGCCCATGCCAGGATAAGGCATCTGGCCAGTTTGGCACTCCAAAATTTATTAAGCAAACTTACAGTGATTTGTTTTCTATGGGGCCAAGTATCTGGCTAGCTTGTATCTTGGATTCACCATTATTGGTCAGACTGAGTGAAAAGATGTTTCTCTGTAAGTGCTTATGAACTTTAAGAATTGGCTAACTGCCAGGCACTGGTGGCTCACATAATCCTAGCTATTCAAGAGGCTGAGATCTGAGGATCATGGTTCGAAGCCGGCTGGGTCAGGAAAGTCTGTGAGACTCTTATTTCCAATTAATACTCACAAAACCAGAAATGGAATTGTAGCTCAAAGTAGTAGAGTACTAGCCTTGACCAAAAAAAACCTCAGAGACAGTGCCCAGGCCTTTAGTTCAAGCCCCATGACCACCACCACCAACAACAACAAAAGAATTGTCTAACATAAGTTAGGCACAATGGCTCATTACTTTGAAGGCAAAGATTAGGACGATCATAATCCAGTCACTCTGGGCATAAATGTGAGACTCTATTAGAAAATAAGGCAAAAGGGCAGGGGACATAACTAGAAATTGCAAGGCCTTGAGAATTGACTAAAACTAAGTCCCAGCATCTTGTAGGGAAGATCACTAAGACTTCTTGTTTCAAGGACAGTCCCAGTCCTAGACTAAGCTCCTCCCCTTAGCCCTCACAGTGCTCAGAAGCTGAGGAACTCAAACCCTAAATGTGACTCGGGGCCCAGTGCATCCCCCCCACCCCTGTACCCACAACCACAACCATTACAACCCGAACCCTAGAAAACACTTTGTCCTGAAATACCTGTAGTGGGCTAGGGCAGCATTCAGGCCACTCGCAGAAATGGTTTGGAAACTGGGTCCAGAGGAAAAGTCTTCTTCTCTGGACATGCAAAGCAAAGAATGGTGAATGAATGGGCCTGGGGACTAGGCTATATCCTGGATTCCCACAAGAACACATGAGGGCCACAACTGTCTTCACCTCAGCCTGACTCCATTTGTCTCTCCAAGCTCCACCTCCTGCCTCCTTCTATGCCAGCTCTGTCCTGTCACTGTACGGCATTCAGAAACAGTGGACAAACTGTGAACACCCATACCCATCTACCTTCTGGAAATGTTCTAGTCCAAGACTGCTGGCCAAAGTCAGCCCCCCCTAGGGAGACTGAACTGTGTCTGAAGCACACGCTAGGGGGTGCTGATGGGTTGTTCCGCTTTTCTGTGGGGTCGGAGAATGTCATCCAAACACCTCCAGCACAGCTCCCAGACCACCCAAGAAACTCAATCTGACTTCCAAATACAAGGATGATCTTTCTCCTAAGTAAGGGGACTAATTACCCCTCGCTGCCCCACCCCCACAGCAAAAGATAATCATTCTCTTACCCTCGAAACTTGTCCAAGAGCTGTGCCCCAGAGAACTCATCCACAGTGCCTTTTGGCACGTTCTTCTCCAGCCACACCAAGTACCGAATCACAGCCACAGCATCCCGCACCTGGAGCAGGAAGCAGAGAAGGAGTGGAGGTGCGGCCAGAGCAGAAGTCACAGACTCTAGAAGAAGATCCCATAGCTACTCTGGAATTTGGTGTCATAAAACTTAGGATGACTGGTTATTTGATATCAAAGGATTCCCATTTGTGTTTATATCTGATTATAGTGTGCCTGTGTTTTTTTAATAAAAGCATTCTTATCTTTAGAGATACTTACTGAAGTGTTGACAGCCAGAATGATATGATAGCTGGAATTTGCTTTAAAATAATCTAGCAGCGGGAGTGGGAGTGGAGGGCACGGAAGTGGGTTTATAGATGAAACTATGCCTTGATTACTGAAGCTGGGTAATAGGGGACACAAGGGATCGTTATGCTATTTTTCTCTACCATAGCATGTGTTTAAAATTTCCCCTAAGAACAAGTTTTTCAGTATGAAATAGTTTATCCTAATTTTACCAAGACTATTTCCCAAAAGTGAGCCATCCCTCTTGCTAGGGTAAGGAAATCATTATGGCTAACACTTATTTAACACTTAGAATGTACCAGGCAGTGCTCAAAGCAATATATATTTTACTGAGTCTTCACAATAACCATATGCTGTAAGATTACTTTTTCTGACACAAGGTCTTGCTATGTAACCCAGGTTGGCCTTGAAATTGAAATCTTCCTGCCTCAACCTCCTGAGTGCTAGGATGACAGGTATAAACCACCATGCCCAGCTAAAATTCCTATTTTAATGTATGCTAAAAATGAAAAGAAATAAATGTCAGGAAAACAAACCAGGCTCTTGGGTGGCAAGTATCAGAGAAAGGGGGGAGAGGAAATGGAAAGGGGGATGAGGGTGAATATGGTCAAAGTACTTTAGAAACATGTTTGAAAATAGAACAATGAAACTTGTTGAAATTGTTTTAGAAAGGGAGGAGGGCAAGTGGGAGTAAGATGGAGGGGGTGAGTTTGATCAGGGTACATTGTAGGTGTATATTATGTATACGCATATAGGGTGTATATAAAATACGTAATGTATTTTCTTTTTCTTCACCCCCATTATCATCTCCTTTCATATTCCTCTGATTAGTATTTTGATCCCCATTTTACATAGGATACTGAAGTCCAGAAAAGTGAAATAACTTGCCCAAGGTCTAGGTAGAAGGTGGAGTTGATGCCTGGCCCCAAACCTACACCCAGGAGTTTGGTGTCTGCTTCTTTGTTTCATTGAATGTCTTCTTCATGCTCCTCTGCCAAGCTTCCCTTTCTAACCCTTCATACCAAGAGCTCCAAAGGGCCAATTAACATCAGAAGTGAACTTACGTGGCTGGACTTGAGGAGGGTCTGCTCCTTGCTGTTCTTCATTGCCTTGGTCACCATCACTGGGGAGTAGTCATCTGTCTGGAGTTTCTCCTGTTGGGATCAAAGAAGCAGAGGAAGACTAGGAGTACCCTCCAGGGCACAGTGATATTTCCAAAGGACCAGCAGGGCTAGGCACTGGTGGTTCACACCTATCATCCTAGCTTCTTGGGAGGCTAAGAATGGGAAGATCACATGGTTCAAGGCCAACTGGGACAGAAAAAATTGCAAAATCCCTTTTCAACCCGTAGCTGGGCCCAGGGGCACATACTTACCATCCTAAGCTATGTGAGAGGTTGAGGTTAAGAGGATCACAGTTCTAGGAAAGCCCAGGCTTTCCCAATGGAAGGAAATATGGACATGTGGTATGTGCCTCTCATCCAAGCTAGGATGGGAATCCTAAAATATGTGAATCATGGTCCAAGGGTATGCCAGCCAGAAAGTAAGACTGTATCTCAAAAATAGCCAGCATAAACCAGGGCTGGAGATATGTCTGTGGCAAAGCTCCTCGTTAGCAAGTATGAGGCCTTGAGTACCAAATAAAGTGAGGCTTACTACTTCTTCAGAGCAATGACCTCTCCTTTAGACACTCTCTGGCTATGCAGATCTTGCCTAGGCATGCGACCCACTTACTCACCCTCCCTCCCTCCAGAAAGGCTTCTATAATGAGCAGGCTTGTTGGCAGTTCATTCCCTACAGAACTCTGGCATAGCTCACAGCCAGCCTGGCCTGTGGCATCCAAGGGCTGTTTTAACAGTGTGAGTTTCCTGTATATATCATAGCATTCATTACCATTTACTGAACACCTACCAGGTATTGGCCATTGGGCTGCATTGATACTATCTCGTTTAAATCTCAGAGTAACTCCTCCTATAAGGTCAGGACTCTTAGTGTTATTTTACAGGTGAAGAAACAAATACTGAGGTTGACTAAACTGCTTATCCCAAGTCATTGCACAGTCAGGAGTAGAGTTGGGTTCAATGTCATGTTGACCTGTGTCTAAAATTTCTGCTTGATTAGACCAGGCTATATTGTTTCTAACCTCTTCCACAACTATATGAACTTTCCATGGGCAGAGAACTTTCTGCTCTCTTCCTAGGGGAGCCTGGAAGGGAATACACAGACATTTGTTGACTAACCAGATGATGGAATGACTGAGGGGCTTTGGCTCCATTTTAACTCAACACTTACTGGATCTGGAATAGTGGAAGTTACCTGGCAAACTCACCTTGGGTATCACTTCATAAAGCCCATGTGTGGTATATATGGTCCCAATCCAGACCTTCACATTTCCTACGGCGTAGGCCTGAACACTGTCTTGAACTTGACTGTAGTCCTCAATTTGCACACACATGGATTCTGTGCAATTTGAGTTCAGGTACTGCAGAGTCTCAGGACTAAAACGGCTCTTGTTTGCAAATAACCTGGGTAGAGAAAAAAGCTGGGCAGTATCCCCAGTATCTGCTAAAGATAACAGAAAAACCTACAGGCACACATGCAGACTCTTTGTTCCTAAAGGTCAGAGGAAGAGGAAGCCAGCATAGCATTGGGAGCCAAGCAGACCACATTGAGATTTGTTAGGAGCAGAGAAGAAGGGGTTATGAATATCCAACAGGAGGTTTCCCAGGGTGGGGATCCTGTTACAGCAGGCTCTGGGCAGCCTGAAGGCTGGATATTGGGGACAAAGAGAAGGTAGAAGTTGAAGGAAATTCAAGACTGCTAGCGAAGGAAAAGCCATACCTGATGGAAGAGTTTGTGAGCAGAGTGTAGGAATAGAAGAAGGGGTTGAAGGGGATGTCACGGCTGCGAAGGTTGAAAAGCCCTGGGAAAAGAATTATAGGGACTGAAATTCAGGCCTGTTTTGAGGGTCTTTGAGATGCTGAAGGAGATTACATACCTTTTATCCACCACAGTAATGCAGATACAAAGCAGTTAAGACATAGCTTTCATGGCCCTTAGAATGGCTGAAGTCTAGCCATAGAGATTGGGCAGAAATCCCTGATCTTTCCCTTAAGTAGACAGAAGTATTCTGCTGCTTGGGTCAGTCCATTCATCCCATGGCTTGTGGCTCACCCCAGCTTGCTCAGCCTCCTTACTCTGCAGACATGAGCTTCTGATCTGTTTTCCCTGAGGTCCCATAGGCCACTGGTGGGCACATGGGTGTCTGGGGGAAGGGCCATAGGGCTCAAGGACCTTATGTACATCCATGTCCACAAATCCAGACTCACAGGCTGTCTCATCAAGTGCTGACAGAAGAACAGCAGTTGGAGCCATGCTATGCTTCTGCATCTGACTTCGGATGTCAGATACTTTCTCCTGCCAAGTGCTCCCTAGAAGCAAAGAAGCCCAGAAGAAATTGTAAGCGGCACATCTTGTCTTTGACAAATAGTTCCTGGAGGACTTCCTTAGGATAATAGTTCCTTGCCTTTTTTTTTTTTTTTTTTTTTTTTTTGGTGCAAGGCTTTGCAAATAAATACAAAGCCAGAGCTCTAACACTAAGCTATGAACCTAACCCTTCATTTTGTTTTAAAAAGGCAAAAAGTAGAACCTTAGTTCAAACAAACTTGCTGTATACTCAGTGATGACATGGACTCTGGGCCTACACTGGACTCAGATTTTAGTTTTTCCTTTACTAGTTGGGTGACATTGGGTGAATCACTTAATTCTCCATGTCTTATTTTGCACATCTGTAAAATGGGGATGAGTTGCTATGACTAAAGCATATAGAAAGGTGTCTTGACATTTAGTAAGTCTGGTTGACTTTTCTGATGGATAAACATGCAAAAGAAAACAGGAGAACCAGCCTAGTTGAAGAGCAAAGGGAGAGGCCTGGGGCCATACTGGATGCTCCCCTGAAGTAACTCTAGGATTTAAGAGGTCACAAGTATTGGGCTAAGTACTTCATGTACATTGTTTTCATTCTTACCCCATTTTTAGATAAGGAAACTGAGGCTTTAGAGACATAAAGTGACTTGTCTAGGGTTTTATGTGTTTTAGTGGTAAAACTGGGATTTGAACCCAAGGCTGTGTGACTACATGCCCCATATTCCTTATCTGTACAAACAGTGTATTGTCTTTCTAGTATTTCTAACCTGTTAAGCTATCCCTAAATTATGTATCACAGTGCAGCCCTTCCTAGGATGCTTGTATGAGAGTTCTAGGGCTTCTTTCCATGCCCCCCTGCAAGGTATAGTTTCCCATGGTGGGACTAGGAAGGTTGTTAATTTTTTTTTTTAGAAAGTCATAAACATGGGCCGGAAATGTGGCTTAGTGGTAGAGTGCTTACCTAGCATGCATGAAGCCCTGGGTTCGATTCCTCAGTACCATATAAACACAAAAAGCTAGCAGTGGTAGAGTGCTAGCTTCGAGCAAAAAGAAGCTCAGGGACAGTGGCCAGGCCCAGAGTTCAAGCCCCAGTACTGGCAAAAAAAGAAAGTCATAAACATTAAGGATCCTGCTTGGACCCAGATAGCATAAATGATAAGTTAATGCCATTAAGAACTTTGTGCAAACACGTAAATGTATTCAACAAGAACCAAAGGTTTGGGTATGATATACTTGGGGGAAGTTATTTTATTGTGGAAAAACAAATATGAAGTTTATCATTTTAGCCTCAGTTTTTAATGTGTTAGTACTGGGGTTTGAACTCAGGGCCTTATGCTCCTGTTTAGCTTTTTCACTCAAGGCTGGTGCTCTAACACTTGAGCGACAGCTCCACTTTGGCTTTTTGGAGATGAGTCTCAAGATACTTGTCTGCATGGGCTGGCTTTGAATGTGTTCTTCAGATTTCAGCTTCCTAAGTAGTTATGATTAAGTGTATAAATCATCAGTGCCTAGCTTCTTTAGAGTACACAATTTGATTGGTTTAAGTGTATCTCAATGTTTTGCAATCATAACCACTATCTAATTCTAAGGCATTTTCATCATCCTAAAAGGAAACCTAATACCCATTAAAGAGTCATGCCCAATTCCCTCCTCCTTCCAGCCCTCTCCTTCCAGAAACTACTAATCTATTTTCTGTTCATGGTTTTACCAATGCTTGACGTTTCATATAAATGGAATCATACAGTACGTGGCCTTCTTTGAGTGGCTTTTCTCACTTAGAATTATGTTTCAGGATTCAATAGTATAATACATTTTAGAGAAAAATAAAACTTAAATGTTCAGAGGCATAGAGCTATCTTTGAGTAGCTAACTTTTCATGTTCTGCCCTATACTCCCTCTACCGTCTACCCTGCTTTTAAAAATTGCAAGGGGATGGAACGAAAATCTCTCTTGTCTAAGCTTTTTGAAGCTGAATTTTGTGTGTAGGCTTCCAGGCTCAGCTCTGGTTCTGGATGGCTTTCCATTGAAGATTGGCAGCCTGCAATATTCAGCATCTCTTTACTTGTGGAAAGTGATTTTTAAAAAATCTATGCAAATCCTGTACCAATCTCTCCAGTTGATATTTCTTTTTTCTCCTCTACACTTTTTCCTGGCATACATGTCATCTTTATGGGAATGAGATGATTAGTTGTATTTATGATAAAACAGTCTTGGAGAAGATGTTCCTTTAAAAATGGTGGCAAGAGGCACAAAGAGTGGAACATTAAAACAGATAAAGAATTCTCACCAGTTTCATTATACCCACAATTTTGACATGTCCCTCCTGCTTTTTTTACTTCTTTCCAAGCCAGAAATGTCCATGTGTATAAAAATGGGCCTCTCAGATTGCCCAATGTGACTAACAATCCAAACCTATTGGCCTATTCAGAATTCCCAGAAAGGCAGGGTGGTTAGTGGCCAAGATACTGATTCACATTCAGTAGCCTAGTCCTGGTCAGGATTTTATTATTTACAAGAATCCTAGAGAAACTTTACCACAAAAGGTCAAGGACACCACCCAGGCACTGAGTTCAAGCAGCAGAAATGTCGCGCACGCATGTGCACACACATACACACACTCACGCATACACACACAGAATTCTAAAGCATACAGATCCTATGAGATAGTTAGATGGTGCTACTGAGGTCAATGTTATGGATATTAGATTTTTCCGGGTCAGCTAACTTTTCTTTGTGGTCCAGCCAAAACCCAAATCTTCTTTTATGCCAGGATTTACCCTAAAGTTAATTGTTCACTTTTGTCCATGCCAGATATCTTACAAAACTAAATTCCTCATTGTAGGAGAACAAGATGTAAAAAGGGCCAAATGATTTCATAAACCAGTTCCCACTATCAGACAAGCAATTCCTATCACGTCTTTCCTATTCAATTCCCTTTGACTCTCATTTCCTCCCTTCCTCATATTTCATGTTTCATATCCCAACACTATTTATTTCAGTATTTTTTTGTCAATCATGCACCTTGAAATTTGGGCCTAAGCACTGTCCCTCAACTTTTCAGCTCAAGGCAAGTGCTCTACCACTTGAGCCACAGCACCATTTCCAGTCTTCTAGTGGTTTATTGGAGATAATATTCTCATGGACTTTCTTTCCCCAGGCTGGCTTCTAGCATCAGTCCTCAGATCTCAGCCTTCTGAGTAGCTAGAATTACAGGCATGAGTGACCACTACCCAGCTTATTCTCATATTTTCTTTTTTGTTGTTGTTGTTGGTACTGGGGCTTGACCTCTGGGCCTGGGCACTGTCCCTGTGCTCTTCAGCTCAAGGCTAGTGCTCTACCACTTGAGCCACAGCGCCACTTCCATATTCTCATATTTTCTAAACAGAGCTCTAAGGACTCAGATTCTCTGTGGAAAGGGGGTAAAAATTCTGCACTTTCATCAAGCATCTCAGGGCTAGGAGCATAGCTCAAATGGTAAAATGCTGCTTGCCTAGCTACTGTGAGATCCTAAGTTCAAATCTTAGTATCATCAAAAGAAAATTTTAACCAAGCCTTTTAAGTGACATGCTAAGTTTGTAATCCATTGGGTTGGGACCTCTGTTGGTGACTTTTCCAGCCAAAGGAGCAGCAGTGGGGACCTCTGTTATGAGGAAGCCATGGTGTTACTCATTGGAAAGAGGAATGGGTTTACTCAATCACCTATGAATTCCTCCTGCAGGGCATAAATGGGTTCGCTTGGCACTGGTGGCCTCTCAGAGCCCCACACCAGGTCCACAAGGTTGGTGGTAATGGATACCAGTTCTCTGTTGACTTTTTCAAGGGCCAGGTCATAAGCCATCCAGGTAGCTGTAGAGATAGGAAAGAGTCAAGGAAAACTGGTTCAAGCAAAGTTAGGTTTGCTTTACTTTGCCTCCCACTTCACTCCTGTAGCTCCAGTTGTCTTAAGCTTCCCCTTAAGTGTGGTCCTGCTGCAATGCAGTCCCCCCCACCCCATCCTTCTCTTTGTGTTTTCTTAGGCTAAATTGCTGAGCCCACCTCAATGCTCTCTACTGCCAACTGGCTAATCTTGTCTTTTTAAGTGTCAATGGGTGGGAGTTGACACTCTTTAGCATATTCATCATTTTTACCATGATTTGATGCCACTATTTAAAATAATAGTGATGTTCAGATATTGGGTAGGTTGATAAAGAATTTAGTTTGGAAGTTGGAAGTTTTCCTGGCGTATTCAGGAGGATTCTACCTTTGAGAGTATCGTCGGCTGCCTGGGATCATGATCTTTTATTAGTATTATTATCTTTAAGTAATTGTATTTATTCTTTTTAATGTGTCTCAATTACACAGCCATCAATATAATTTGTTGCAAAATATTCTACAACCACAACTTCAAAACTGTATTTTTTTGTTAGTCATGGGGCTTGAACTCTGAGCCTGAGCAGTGTTCCTGAGCTCTTTTTGCTCAAGACTAGTGCACTACCACTTTGAACAACAGCTCTACTTCTGTTTTTTTTCTGGTGGTTCATTGGAGATAAGAGTCTCATGGACTTTCTTGCCCAGGCTGGCATTGAACCATGATCCTCCTAGCCTAGCTTCCTGAGCAGCTAGGATTACAGGTGTGAGTCACCAGCACCCAGCTCAAAACAATATCTTTAGGGTCATATTACCCCTTTTGAGAAAGTATGTTTTTTACTACCCAGGAGGCTGAGACACTCTGTGGACAAGTCCAAGAATACAGGGATGAACATACCAACCGAGAAGAGGAAGGGATCCACACCCACACGCCCTCCATTAGGAATTTCAGCAGCAAGCCAAGTGGTAATGGAATTATAACTCACTGAAAGACAGGAAGAAATGCAAAGGTTACCTTCAATGCCATCCTCAGATTCCTCTAGCCAGGCCTCTGTCTGCAACAGTCCTCCATCAGTCTTAAAGGGCAGAGATAGATTCAAATTATTGGAGCTTCCCAAATGGACCCAGCAGAACCTTGCATATAGTCCCTCATCTTTGCCCTCCCAATCCTAATCTGGGTTCTATGGCTTTGAGGGGGACAGATCCATTTGGGCCTTCTACCTTCTTTATGGAGTTCCCAGTTGCAGTCCATCTGTCTCTCTGCCTGAGTCCAGTACCGACTGTCAGTCCAGACACCTGCCTTCCTCATGGTCACCACAGCAATACCTGGGCAGAAAAGAGAAACCTGGAGTAGAGGAGGAAGGTGATGATGAAGAATGTGACTTTGATGGATGTGAAATTGAGTACTGACTCTGAAGATGTTACAAGGGGCCTCTAGAAAGGGTTTATCATCTCCACTGGATGGAAGAGGGACAGGATGTGTTAAGAACAAGACCTTGGTGGTAGAACATCTTGGTGAGACTTCTCTCTTTGTGTTGTAGTCTTGTAGAGGAAGCCATTCTTTTAGCAGGAGAAGTAGCTTTTTTGTGAGTTGAAAAGAGCTGATAATACATATGGGTGCCCTTTGGAAAGAGAAAACTTGGTGTTGAGACTTGGTGGCTAATAAGAACACTGAGCCAGAGGTTTAGCTTACAGTGGGTGAGGCCAAGCAGCTTGAAGTTCAGGAAGGAATGTTTAAAGATCAGCAAAAGAATCTGGCTTCCATTGAAGAGGCTGGGACGCAGGTAGGAGCCCCTTTAGAAACAGGGGCATTATTAAGAGCTTCTGGATCTGGGTCTCATTTGGCCATGTGAAGTGATATCTATAAAAAAGACCTGTAAATTAAAACTTATCTCCAAGTGAGCTATCATATGAAAGAATGAATGGGTCCCTTGTGGGTAAATATAGAAGTCGTAACTATCTCAGTAATGGAATCCAGGGAGTGCTGGGTTGCGCCTAGCTATGGCAGCAGCATGGGAAGTAAGCCAGAAGAGTCATCTGCCTCACTCTACAGAAATGTGGCCAGTGTACTTTGAAATTTGTGCCCTGGAGAACCTGCTGATTTCAGGGTTGGGACAGGAGGTTGAGAAAGAGAGAGAATAAGAGGAGCCTCTGTATAGATCTTGGTGTCCTGGTTGCTAAGGGACTATTTATGCTAGGTCCTCTGTAACTATCTTTGGTCCACCAACAGAAGCCAAGGTGGCAGGTAATGGCTGTTACCTGCAGTTCCTGTGAAGCCTGTCATCCATGCACGCCTCTCATCATGTCTGCCAATGTATTCATTCTAGAAAATGGACGCCATAGAGTTACATCCTACATGAAGGCTCCAACTATATTCCCATTTTTTTTGGTCTCATTAGTTGCAACCAGTCCCATAAGGCACCTCTGTAACTGCCTCTGTCCACTATCTTCTCTTCCTTTGAATAATTAAATCTGTTTTAGTCTCAACTCCACTGTCTAGCACTGGACTTGGGGTTATACTGGACTGTTCTTCACTGGCCACTCTAACCAGAATGCAAATTCTGGGCAGTCCAGGACCATGACTTCCAGGTTTCCTTTCAGATATCCCTTCTTCCTCTCCAGTCTATAATAGCCATTGGGTACAGTGATTCCTTATGAGCAGCATCCATCAAACACAGGCTGAAATTACCCAAAAATGTTTCCACTAAAAATGTACAGACTTTTTCTTGCCATTATTCATTAAACAATACTGTATGACAACCATTTACAGAAATTTGAATTGTAGTAGGTATAAGTATTTAAAGGATATGGAAGGGTATGCATATATTATGTGTAAATACTACACTATTTTTATAAGGACTTCAACATCCATTCATTTGAGTGTCTGTGTGGATTCTGGAGCCAATCTCCCATGGGTGACTTTATTGATTTATAATTCTTGAAGACAGATCTTGATATTTGCTTTAGCAAAAAAGAAAACTGGAGAGTTGAGGTGTGGCACAGTGGTAGCATCTGCCTAGTGAGTTTGAGGCTCTGAGTTTGAAGCACAATACCACCAAAAAATAAAGAAAAATGGAAACACTCAACAGAAAGAAAACAGTCTCAGAGACCATCAGATATGTGTCCAAAGTTCTTAGCCATCCACATCAAGTGGGAAACTAATTTAAGAAACCTTATTGGCACTGAAAATGCCTGTTCTTCCAGGTGGGCTGTTACTTGATGTAGAGTGAGTGGAAAGGGTGCAGGCAGAGCCACTGATGGGAAGGGGTGGGCTACTGAGGGAGATCACTGCTTTGGGGAAAGTAGTTCTTATTCAGACTGTTGTGTGTTTTAGACTGTGTGCCCTTCTCAATTGTATATGGTACATGCTTGTGTATCCCAGAACTCACTGTTTCATCCAGCTGGTTCTAACAAGGCCGGGGTCAAAAGGAAACTTACAGTAGTTCTACTCAAATTCTCAGCCTCCCTTCTAACCTCTCAGGGCAGGGATGACCCAGACACACCTTCTGTATCTGCCACTACCTAGGAATTAGTCAAAACTAATTCAGATAGGGTAAGGTTGAGCACAGAAATGGTAGGACAAAGGGTGAACCAATGTAGCAGTGATACCCACTAGGCACTATGTTAAAAATGAAGAACACAACTTGTGGGGGAGCAACTGGGGGGGAAAAACTGAGAGAAGAGGTGATATTGTTAAAAAAGAAATGTATTAATTTCCTGACTTACGTAACTGTAACCCCTCTGTATGTCACCTTTACAATAACAATAAAAATTAACTTTGAAGTTGTTTTATATCCTTCTGAAGGTCAAGGAGATTTGGCTGCGTCTTCCCTCTTGTGTAAAGGAATATGTTTTTTTGTTGTTGTTGTTTTTTTAATTTTTGCAGGTCTTGGGGCTTGAACTCAGTCTGGGCTCTGTCCCTGAGCCTCTCTGTGCTCAAGGCTAGAGCTCTACCACTTGAGCCACAGTGCCACTTCTGGATTTTTTCAAGAGTTTATTGGAGATAAGAGTCTCAAGGACTTTCCTGCCCGAGCTGGCTTTGAACCGTGATACTCAGATATCAGCCTCCTGAGTAGCTAGGATTACACACATGAGCCACTGGTGCCTGGCTCAGGAATGTTTTTTAAGTTGCGTTAAAACTATCCTGAAAAAAAAAGAAAGAAAAAAAATTATCACGTACAGGCTGAGCATAGTGGCAAACATCTGTAACCCAACTACTGGAAAACATAGGTAGGAGAATGGAAGTGTGAGGTTGGCCTTGGGCTAAAACACAAGACCCTATCTCAAAAATAAGAGGTGAGGGCAAGACTTAAATAGTAGAGTACTGGGCTGGGAAGGTGGCTCAGTGGTAGAGTTCTTGCCTTGCATGCAGGAGGCCCTGGGTTCGATTCCTCAGCACCATATAAGCAAAAAAAAAAAAAAAAGCCGGAAGTGGCACTGTGGCTCAAGTGGTAGAGTGTTAGCCTTGAGCTGAAGAGCTGAGGGACAGCACCTAGACCCAGAGTTCAGGCTCCATGACCGGACCCCCCAAAAAAAATAGTAGAGTAATTTTCTAACAAGTCAAAAATAACAGTTGAAAGCCTAGTACTGTCAAACAAAAACAAACTGCCACGTGCAAGGTTTCTACTTTGGTCCCTTTGATTGTCAAATGCTTTCTTTGCTTTCATTTTCTGAGTCAGAACTGCCTTCTGTTTGTGGCCTATGGCTAGTGGTTGACCCATGGTAGCACATAGGACAAGAGGAAGAGAAACAGTTGCTCACCATGTGTGCATCCGTGTCTGGGATTAAGTAGGCAGAGAGGTTCCAGGCCTGTATCTGCTGGCGGAGGGCTGTGAGTCGTGCTGTAGTATTGACCACAGTAACTGGAAGGTGCTAACAGATGATAGGAAAACACTCAAATGCACATACATTGTTTAGACAAAGTGAGACATAGGCCCCTACCTCTAGAGGAGCCAGCCTTTTATAATGAAAGGTGGAATGGCAGCTGATATTATTGCTTAGTCTACAGACAAGATGCCTGGGCTAAATCCAAAGGGCGAGGGGTAGAGTTTGGGGAAGAATCTCTGTGTCAGTAATGGGATCCGAGTGTGGGATGGGAGTGTGGGTGAGAACTATAGGAATCTGAACTCTGTTCCTGGGCCAGGTCAGGAAGACAGTCTCTCTCTGGATACCTTGGGGTACAGTTAGCAAATAAAAATACAGGATGCTACTCAGCTACATTTAACTTTCAAATTAATAATGAATAGTCTTTTAATATAAGTATGCCTCATGTAGTATTTGAGACTGTTTTTTTGGCGGGGGGTGGGGGGGTGGGGGGTGGGGGAGACTGGTCCTGGGGTTTGAACTATGGGACTGGGTGCTGCCCCTGAGCCTCATTGTGCTGATGGCTAGTGCTCTGCCACTTGAGCCACCATGCCACTTTTGGCTTTTTCTGAGTAGTTTATTAGAGATAAGAGTCTCACCAACTTTCCTGCTTAGGCTGGCTTTAAATAGCCATCCTCAGATCTCAGCTTCCTGAGTAGCTAGGCTTACAGGCATGAGCCACTAGTTTATTTGGGACCCTCTTAAAATATAATATTATTTGTTGTCAGAAATTCAAATGTAATCAACCTAGTGTGTAGTATTTTGTCTAGAAACCTCTTTGGGGCTTTTTCTCAGGTTGTCACCATTGGTCCCAAAAGACAGAGGAAAGTGCATGAATACCCCCTCCTCAACACCCTCAGATAATTTGTCCTCTCCAAGACAGATATTTCTTTAGAAGACAATCTTTATAAAATGAAAACTATGTTTTTGGTTTGTAATGTTTGGCTTTATACTCAACAATATATCTAGGTTTGTATTAATATAAAAGTTATGGTAGTGAGGGGTTGGAGTGGATAGGGAAAGAGAAATTGGTTTTCTCTGTGCCAAGAGGGGGTACTAGCAGGAAGGGACTAATAAGGAGGATGAAAGAGGCTGAATGAGGTTGAAATAGATTATTAGCAACTATGAACCAGAATAATGAAACCTGTTGAAATTGTTTTGGGAAAAGGATAAGGGATCAGAGAAAGTGATAGAAGAGTGTGATTGGAATACATTGTAAACATGTGGAAAAATGTGACAATGAAATCCATCGCCCTATAACTAATGTAAACTAATTTTTAAAAAGTAAGGTGGTTTGCCTAGCCATCTATTAAGTGGCTTAGAGTATTATACACTTGCCCACTCATCACACTTCCTCACCTACCCCTTCCTGGAGAAGTTCATTAGATCCAGTTTAGCTATACAAAGAATTACTGAGTCGTCAGCTAGGAAGCTGGCCACCTGATCTATTCAGCTGGCTCCAGTCTTCAGGCTTTCTGGCTTTCACACCCTATGTTTTTCCTCTGGCCCTTCCGCTGGCTCTTCTAGTCCCTTGGCTTCCTCCCTCCTCTCCTCTGTGCTTCCCTCTTAGCTATTTTTCTAGAATTTCTAGTTTCTTTTCTCCCATCCTCCTCCTTGCCTCTGCTTAGCTACATCAAAGGAAATTTGGGGCCTCCCCACCCCTTTCTTTCTCCCTCCCTCTGATGGGTGTTTCCTAGGCCCAGCCAGTGTAGAAGTTAACAGCATGCTGTTAGGAAGAGTGGAAGAGAGACCAGGCATTCATAGAGAGCTGAAGGGTATGTTGGGCACCTGAATCCCTACAGACAGACTGCTCTGATGGATGCTCATAACAGGGGTTTCCAGTGTGAAATCAAGAGAGAGTGTAGTTGGAAGTGGCTAGCAACTGAGCCAATGGGAGAAGACCATAGGGTGGGGTCATATAGGGATGGGGCCAAGTCCTCACCGGAGGGTTGGTTGAACAGTTTCTCATATCCTTTCTTCCAAGGTTCACAGGCTTTGGGTGACTCCAGGCATAAGCTAGAAACCAAGAGAAAAATCCAGAGTTATTTAGTTACCAGAGAATTCTCAGAATGCAGAGACATTCTCCTTCATTCCCCTCCTTCACCTTGCAGAACCTCCATCCTTTGAAAGACACCATGCTGGCCAATTCTACTTAAGGATAAAAATAATCACATTTCATGGGATATCAGGCTGAATTGGATGGCACCCTGAGTCACAAAGAAACTAGTTTCATCAACAAGTGATTGCCACTTTTGGGGGGGTTTAATACTCATTACATCAATTCATTTTTCCTCTAATCTAAGTGGGTCTTTTCAGGGAAATGGAAATGTTGGGTGTAAATTAAATTTTTTCTTTTTTTCTTTTTTTTTTTTGGGTCCGGTCGTGGGGCCTGAACTCTGGGCCTGGGCGCTGTCCCTCAGCTCTTCAGCTCAAGGCGAGCGCTCTACAACTTGAGCCACAGCACGACTTCCAGCTTTTTTTTGTTTTTGCTTATGTGGTGCTGAGGAATCGAACCCAGGGCCTCATGCATGCAAGGCAAGCGCTCTACCACTGAGCCACCTTCCCAGCCCCTAAATTAAATTTTTAAAATCAAATTTTCTTTGAAATATTCTATAGGATCTCACTAAATATCTACCCCCACTTTAATCTTAGTCTTCTATAATTGTAAGTATATATGTATATATAATATATATTTATATATGTACACACACACACACGGTTTACCGAAATTCAAGGCTCATATTGCCATTTCTTACAATCCGAATCTCCCCATATCATTCTAGGTTTATATTTTATTTTTAAAGTATTTTAATTTTTATTTTTGTTGCTCATGTGCCTTGAACTCAGGACTTGAGCATTGTCCCTCAGTGTTACCCCTCAAGGCTAATATCACTCTACCAAAGCTCTACCTTTGGCTTTCTGGTGATTAATTGGAGATAAGAGTCTCACAGACTTTCTTAATTGGGCTGGGTTTGAACCACAATTTCAGACGAGCCTCCTGAGTAGCTAGGGTTACAGATGTGAGCTTCCACTGCCTGGCTATAGGTTTATTTTATTTTATTAAAAATTATTTTGTTCCAGTACGAGGGCTTAAACTCTGGGCCTGGATGCTATCCCTTAGCTTCTTTGCTCAAGACTGGTACTCTAACCTATAAGCCACAACTCCACTCCCACCCTTTTTGGGTAGTTAACTGGAGATGAATCTCACAGACTTTCCTTTCCCTGCTGGTTTCAAACCATATTCCTTAGATCTTAGTCTCCTGAGTAGCTAAGATTACAGGCATCAGCTACCTGGGTGCCTGGGTCTAGGTTGATTTTAAATATAAGACATAAGGGCTGGGAAGGTGCTCAGTGGTAGAGTGCTTGCCTTGCATGCCTGAGGCCCTGGGTTCGATTGCCCAGCACCACATAAGCAAAAAGAAAAAAGCCAGAAGTGGTGCTGTGAGTCAAGTGATAGAGCGCTAGCCTTGAGCTGAAGAGCTGAGGGACAGCGCCCAGGCCCAGAGTTCAGGCCCCATGACTGGACCCCCCCCAAAAAATAAATATAAGACAGAAATCCTACTCTGACATCATCTGGTGAGTGAGGAAAGGTGAATTAGCATTTAAAGAGCTCCTACTACATGCAAAACACTGAAGTCAGCAATTTAACTATTGATGCATATGGCACACACCAACATTATGGTCAACAAAGGTCAGCATATAGGACAATGGTCCCAACATGACCAACCTAATGACATCACAGCCATTTTAGTTTGCAGAAGTCCACTCCATGTTTGTGTGACAATAATTTGCCTCATAATGTTTCACAGAATGTGTCCCCATTGCTAAGTGACACACAACTCTATCTCATTTAGTACTTGAAATAATTAGACTCTAAGAGGTATGTAATGATTATTCACTTCTCAAAGACTCTTTTTGATGGAACTTGAGATAGGCTCCTCCACTCTTTTCTTAACAAGATCTTGACCTTGGCCTTCAGGGTCACTCTTGCCCCTATAGGCCTACATTACAGTTTAAACAATACCTCCGCCTTAAATATCTAAATGATTCCTCCCAGTATCTGATCACAAGCCACGTCCTCCACCCTAGATATCTGACTTTCCCGCTCCAGCTCAGTGGGAACTCTGTCAAATCAGTTTAGCAGGAAACTCCACACTCTGGATGATTCCTCACACTCACTTGCCATGTTCCAGGCTCCTCATTCCGCTCTGGTTTAGATATCCATCCCTAGGGTGCTCTGAAAGGTTCCAAAATGAGCCCCACCTGTTCTTGGTGCTTCAAGGCCCTGTTATCTCTAATAAAGCCTTTATCACTCTACAAACAAATACCAAAATAATTTTTATCATTAACTGGAGGAATAGAAGGACTCCACCAAAGATTCAGCTCACGTCATAAAGGCTCAGAATGAAGATTGGCCCTAATGGGGCTGCATCCCAAGACAGAGAAGGTAACCTCAAGAAAGAGAGACAACCAGGGTCCTAGCCCTCACCCCAATGATGAGCCCCAGAGGAAGAGGCCAGAGCTGGTCTCTAGAACAGATCAGGATGTACATACCACAGAGGAGGATAAGCCAGGGGCAGCAGCCCCAGGGAGTCAGGGCCATGGGATCTCCAGAGGCTGATGCTGAGTGGATAGGGTTAGGTGGCTTTGGAGAGTGAGGGCAAGGCTGTTTCTTTCCCCTCTTCCTCTAGGACTTTTCTAGGCAGAAGCAGACAGTGGTCAGGACTAGTAACAGGAAGGAGGCTGCTCCCTTTCTTCTTTTGTTCTGATGGGCTCAGAGAGCCACAGTGAGCAGAAGAGTCTTGGGCTTTCGCAGACAACTGGTGCAGGCTCCTCGGATAGGGTGTGAGCCCGCCCCAGGGCAGAGTCCAAAGATCTTGGAGACTGAGTAGTAACAGCTGGTTTCAATCAGCCAGTTTCTCCCAGCCCCCTCTTCAGCAGCCCTGCCCTGGCCATTCCTGAATTCTGTCTCCCTCCCTCCAGTAAGCTGTTTCCCATTAGTTCTCCCACACAAGGCACTGGGTTCAGCCTTACTTTTGCTTTGGTATGAATATTTGTCCCTCCTTCTCTGAGCTAGTTTGATCCAGAAAAAAAGCCAGTGACCTCTCTTTCTGCACCCCTTGAAGAAGTTGGTGACAACTACAATTATGTTCTTGAGCTGGTGAATATTCCTCCAGGACAGTCCACTGTGAAAGATGCCACCAACCCTTCCTTTGGGAGCCTCTGAATCTTCTTCAGCTGCACATTCTGTACTCTGCGAAGTCCAAGCTACTTAGGGACAGTCATACCCGGCTGGTGGCACGGTGGGGCAGGAGGAGGGTTGGCACAGAGGCACTTAGATTTCAAGGAATCAGGGGATATCACTAAAGATGGAAGTGAAAGGATCCATCACATCCATGCCAGGGGACCATGCAGAGGCAGGCAGGCAGGCCCAGGATTATTACAAGGTTTATTAGAGGAGCCATAAGAGAGAGCACATGGCCACCTCCACTATCTAGGTAGCAGCAGGGTCTGGGGGTAGGAAGTGAGGTAGATGGGAGCTCAGATGTGTCTGGGTGGAGAGAGGGAGGGGCCAACTGGTTAGCAGGAACTCCAGGGCTAGGAGGAGCTCAGGTCTGGGTGGAGCTGAGGAACAAAGGTGAGCATAATGCTTACAGGAAGAAGTTCCAAAAAGAGGAATTTGGGGGCTCTGAGAACTTTGGTTAGTTGGAAATGTCTTCCTACCATGTCTTCTAGAACAGGTGCTTGGCTATGCTGCAGTGAGGCTTGCTCCTGCATAGCATGACTCTCTGTGATGGAAGTGGAGAAGGTAAGACCAGCATTGTCCCTGTACTCAGCTGTGTCACAGAGCACCATGCAACACCAATTCCAAGGCAGTGTCCAGTAAATGTTTCTAGAGTTTTTGGGTTCTTATGAGCTCAGGAAGGATTTGCTTCCAAGAGGCAAACAGACCCAGTGTATGGATTCTCAACTAGCCTGAGGGTTAAGGTACATGGCCTATTCCTATCTACTTATATGTTTGTATGTTTACCTTTTTGCAGTGCTGGGAATGAGCTAAAGGCCTTGCAGTTGCTAGACAAATGTTCTACCTTTGAGTTTTAGCTCTAGCCCCTACTTGTTTGTTTTTTTTTTTTTGAAAGAGAGTCAAATTATGAAGTTCAACCTGGCCTTGTACTAGCTATATAGTCCAGTTTGGCCTTGACCTTCTGGGTGCTTGGATTATAGGCATTATTGGTTTTGGTTTCATTTTAAATGCATTTGTCCTTATTTATAATAAATTCAAGACAGTTTTCAACAACCCATTAAAAAAACAGTACAACTTTTATAGAGGGAAAGGGGACCTTTATGGAAGTCCATGACAGGGCAGAGTCAAAATGAGTGAGGAAGCTTTGTGAACTTTACTTTCAGGAATCAAAGCAGAGGACAGAAGCTCTGAGCCTTTCCCAACAGATATGAGAAATCTTGTCATTTTGTGGCTGCTGAAACTTGTCTTTTCCCTGTCCACTCTTTCCCACCTCTTCCAGGACTGGTGATGAGGTTATTCCCAGAGCTCTGTGGATTAAGGAAATGTTTCTTCAAAGGCCCTTTCCCTGCCTCTCAACTGTATTCACCATCCCAAGGGGCAAGGAAGTAGATCTATTGGGGTCATTCAGAGAAGGAATTCTAAAGAAAGTCTTCAAGGACAAGCACAGTCTGGCCTGTTCATCCGTGAACCTAAGAGCACTGACCTGGGATCCAGACTGCCTCCATTTCAATGCCAGTTCTGTCCTGTCAGCTGCATGGTCTTGAGTGGTGACTTCACCTTTATGAGCCCTCAGGTTCTTTGCTTGTCAAATGGTGCACAGTCACATTCAGTTCTCAGAGATGTGATGAGGATTAAATGGTTAATACTTAGGAAGCTCCTAGAACATTCCTGGTAGACAGTAAAAGTTAAATGCTTTGTGTTTATTAATACAAATGTATAACTTGAACCAAAGTGAGTCTCATCTGCACCTTGGCCTCTCTCTCCTTGGCATCCAACACTGCTGAAATGGCAGTTACCAAAAGCCAAGCTCAGCAGGGGCCCCAGGACCTTGAGACAAAGGACTCAGACATCCCTCCCTCATATACTGACCTCTGCCCAGGGATGGTCTCTACACAAGACTCAGGCCTCCAATTCTATCCTCTGGGTCCTTGCTTTGGCCCTGGTGATGATGATGACCTCAGCTCTTTATCTCCTTATCTCAAAACCACTCTCTTCACTTTCATCAGTTTGGGGACTTGAACTCAAGTTGGCAACAGGCCTGAAGCAGAAGGAATGATTTGGTATAGTCAGGGTGAATAGCCAAGGGTCCTTGTAACAGACTTGCTTGGAAGTCCTATGAATCACTGCAGTTCACTGTGGCATGCGCAGAAAAGTTAATGTCTTCTGCCTCTTTCACTTTCATTTATTTTTTAATATTTATTTAAAAATTTATTGTAATGGTGATGAACAGGGGGTTTACAGTTACATAAGTGAGATAATGAGTACATTTCTTTTTAGACACTGTTATCCCCTGCCTCATTTTCTCCCACTTACCACTCCCCACTCTCTTCCCCCCACCAGATTGTAAAGTTCATTTCCAACATAGTGCCTAGTAAGTACCACTGTTGCATTAGCTCATCCTTTGTCCTGATGTTTCTGTGGTTCCCTTTCCCTTCCACGAATGAGATAAGCTTGTATACAAGACATAGGATACAGAAAACTAAAACAGAAAGATAAAAATAGAAATAACTGCATACAGGACATAATAAGAACCTCTTAAAGGCCAAATTCTGAAAGTAGAGAAGTTGTTTTTTAGGGTCTTTCCTCTCCATGTTTTTGTATTTTCTTTGTAGCTTGAGCACACTCAAGGCTTGTCACCCTGACTTTTTTTTTGTATATATTTTTAATTGTAAAAATACTGTTCAGAGGGGTTACAGTTACTTCAGTAAGGTAATGAGTACATTTCTATGGAGAGTTGTTACCTCCTCCTTTGTTTTTCCCCTACTACCCCTTCCCCTACCTCCCCAACTCCTCCCACTCCCGTCCTCATCGAAGTTGTAAAGTTCGTTTTCATCGTAGTGTCTTGGACATCTCATTGTTACAATGGGTCAACCTATATCCTTATTTCAGCATGTTATTTCCCTTCTTCTCCCCAAATTAGAAAAATGTATATTCAAGATTCAGGGCACCAGAATCAAATACAGTGAAAACAGGGATTATACCATGGTGGAAGAACATACAAAAGAAACAAAAATTAATCACATGGTACATTATAAATATATTAAAAACCACAGCAAGAAAGATAAAACCACATGTGTCTCTATCTTGGGGTTCATTTCACTTAGCATCATCTTATATGGTCATATGTACATAGCTTTTGACCTATTCTGTTTGTCCTATACTTATACAAGTTATTGCAAATAAGGGAAACCATGGGACCTATGTTTGTTTGGGTCTGGCTTACTTCACTTAATGTAATTATTTCCAAGTCTTTCCATTTCCTAACAAATGGGCCAATGTCATTCTTTCTGATGGAGGCATAGAATTCCATTGTGTATGTATACCACATTTTCTTGATCCATTCATCTACTGAGGGCATCTGGGTTTTGATCTGGGTTTCCATTGGAATAGAGCAAACCAGTACCCATGTCCTTCCACCTCTAAATGTCATCATGAAACTCATGTTGTAAAATTGGTATATGCTAATAAAAATTTTAAAAACCCAACAATCTATTAGATATTCTGAGAAAAGGCATGTAAAGTGAGCAGCAAGAACTCTTATACCAGGACCACAGTGGCTCTGCTGTGAGAAACCCTGGGCCAAGGGAACTGGGGGGAAAGCCAGGAGGAAGGAGGTGAAGGTCAAGTGGCCATGAACGTTGGCAGTAGTGGCCCAGAAATGACAATGCAGGCATTGGTCATAGGGAGCCCTGTAGCCTGGGGACAGATTGGTGACAACAACAGAATGAGCAACCTGTTGAAAAGAACACATCTGGGCAGCAACATAGCCTGGGATAGATGTGGTATGGGACAGAGATCTAGTGGGGTTCTGAACATGTGCCTTACATTTGCCGGGATGTCTCAAGATACTGAAGATGAAACCTGTAAGAGGATTTCCAAGGTCTTGCAGTTCTTCAGGAGGAAAGGGGCCTTTGAGCTAGTGTACTTTAGGCCCCACTGCTGATGTGACCTCAGAGGCTGCCACACTGGAAAACCTTGGCTTTATAGGCATGACATATGACCCCAGTTTCCAAGCCCTTTTCTTATTTCATAAGGTTTCTTTTTTTAAAAAACTTAAAATTGTTATTATAAAGTGATATACAGAGAGGTTACAGTTACATAAGTCAGGTAATGAGTATATTTCTTTTTGGACAATGTCACCCCTACCCTTGCTCTCTTCTCATTTTCCATTGGGTTTCTTCACCACATTGAGAGACAAGTGGAGTCCTCACTAGCAGAAAAGAAGATAGACTTGGAGAAGAGTGGGAGCATTGCCTAGGTCCAAGATAACCTTCTGGCAGAACTGGAACTCAGACCTGTATCTCTTCCTTCCATTACGCTGAAGCTTCTCCATGGCACCTACTCTATGTAGCACAAAGCCATGGCTCCCATGGCTCCAATCTCTGCAGTTTAGTAACAGAAGCCTTCATCCTTTATATATCTTATTATCCCTTTCTTTTTGTACATACTCCATCAAAGTCTAGCTTAGTCACCTCATACACCAAGCCCCAGACCACCTCAAATTCATCCCTCCATCTCAGGGGCTCTTATAACACATTGTCTGAGCCTATGTTTTAAAGGTCTTGCATTGAT